CCCCCCCCCTGCGTGGAGTAGGTAACTAGAAACGAATTTTTGTGAAATTGGACGAAAAACGGGCGAACTGTTTCGAATTTGTGACGGGCGGGACGCAGAGAAATTTGCGCTTCTGCGAGGGGCACGAGGGATCGTTACGGCGTCTCGCGCCGAACCTTTTTCGGCATGCGAAGGGGTTATAACTTAAGTTATTGTATATAAATGTAGGACATGTTCGTGCGAGTGAGACGCGAATAATACAGTTTTACGACAGTTTTACGACAGTCGAGGATGTTCAAAGGAAAAGAAAAAGAAATGGGAAGAGGAGAGACGGAAATGCAGGAAACCAACTCTCTCGGAGGCAGGCAGCTGATGTATTTTGTATCTCCCTTTAACGAGCATAAACACGCGTAATACGCGCACTTGTTTCTCTCATAAATGTACGATAATGTCATTCATCAAGTATCACATTTTGCATCGTGTCGAAGATATTATACATGTATTCGTAGAACATATTCGATATTGTGCACTCCTCTTTTATATAAATGATGAAAAAAAAAAAGGACGCAATGCGAGACTAGAAAAATTTTCGCCGGATCGCGGTTCGCTCCCCTCCCCATCTCCCTCCACCCCCCACCCCCCTTCAAAACTCGATAGCGCATAGAGATACGAAAAAATATATATATATATTTAAGTGAATATTACGTCGCTTTAGCGATTATGTTTTATAAGATGATGTCTTAGGCTATAAAAATAAACGAGAAAATGTATCTCTTAATTTCGTAACGTTATTTGCACATCTCGTACCGAGCGAAAGAGTTACTAGGCACACGTATACACGCGTGTATATGTATATATAAATATACATACATATACATATATATTATATATATAGTATATTACATGCAATCACAATATATTATAATGTATATTACCCCTCATAGAAATTTAATATTGGAAGGCAGCGATTAATTACTTATTTTGAGTGTTTTTCAGTTTTTAATATTCATAATAAGTAATTTTCGGTAAATGGGCCAACATTAAGTTCGATTTCGATAGGGAGTAATATATTATATTATATTATGTTATACAATTAATATAATATATGTATATATATATATTTATATTAAAATGTGTAAGTATATAATACATATGATTATATACACACATATAAGTTATGTATTTATATGTATATATACGTACACATATATATTTTATGCTCACTCGACGGTAATAAGCATCAGTAGCGTAATAAGCTTCCCCGTTTTCACTCGAATTGAATCGCGAGGCAAATTTGGCGCATGTGCTTAATGTAAAGGACAGACACGTGCGTATTTATCTAGGATGAAATTTTGTTCGTCGCGCAAACCCTCGCAATCCCCTTGCTTTCGTTTCCGCACGAATTTTGTTTTTTTTTTTTAATTTTTTTACATAGCGAGGTCCAAGGCGCGCGAGTGGACGTTACTTGTAGAAATTACGAAATCACCGCCGGAAGATTTAACGGAGATTTTTGCGGGACCTGCGAGATTTTCTGTTCGAAAGTAGGAAGAAAGAAAAGGAAAGGAGGAGAACGTTAAGTACTGACCTTCGTAATTGTATCTCACTGTGCGACGGCGTGCGTGTCCCTCTCTCTCGGAGGGAGAGACGGTCTTCTGTAATTCGCGCTGTACTACTAATTCTTAATCTTCGCTCATGCCGTTTCATTCGTGCCTCGCGCCGCTCACGCGGCCAATTACACGATTCTATCCAATGTAAATCATCTTCAATCTCGGTTCAACTCGTTTCTTCTCCGTTTCCGGAGGAGGAAGGGAAAGGACGAGAAGTAAATTGAATCGCGGAGATTGGAGTTTTAGATCTATTCATCGACCAGAAGAAAAACGAACCTTAGGCGAGAGTGCCGGGCCGAGGTTCGGCGACCGTCGCGCGATTATTTTGCAGAGAAAAAAAAATCGTTATTATTCCGTTGAAGCTTGTACATACGACGAGGCACCGCTCTCGTTCTCGATCGGAGGACACGTATTAGAGCGTATCCCGTACGCTTAAAAAGGGAGAAGAGGAAGGAAACGCGAGTCGCGCTCCGCTGACTGTCTGATCGGTCGGGGACGCAACGCGTTCCCGACGCACCTATGTTGTACGTGCGCGCATCATATGCATAATTACTACTAATTAATTATAAGATACACACACACACACACACATATACACATCCACGCGCGCGTAGATATGTATGCATATACATATATATATGTACGTAAGAGGATTCGCGGTGCAAGACGCTCTCCGGATCACGTTCCGGAGACGCGCGATCGCGTGGTCTTCGCGCGTTTATCATCGAAATGGGAAAAAACGTTCCCGACGTCGGCGGCTCTGTTTATCATTTATTTTCTCCTCGCGTACACGAAGAAAGAGGTGTATTAACAGCATTAATTTAATTTAAATTAATCAACGCGATTTAATTAATTCATGCTCTCGTTTTAATATAACTATTTGCATTATTAATCTTTAAAGGATCGCGAGACGTTGCAATGTCTCAAAATCAGTTATATTTTGCATCTAATTATATGTTAAATATATATATATATATATCTATCTTTTCCTAAAGTGAAGTTTGCATGAGAAGAAAAGCTCTTGCAGCTCGTTAATAATTAATACTGTTATTGAATTAACACCCTGATGTGAAAAAAATTCTTAAAATTATCCCATATTTTAAAGAAATTTTTCACTTTTCAAACTTAGGATTATAAAAAAAAGGTTGTGAAAAAACTTAGATTATAAAAAATTATGTTAAACTTCTTTAGATTTTATGAATTCTCGTTGGCAATTATAGAATGAGAAGTCTTAGAATATTTCACAGAAATCATGTATGTAAAGTTTATTTAATTTTATTTATTGCGCACGAACAAGATTTATGTGGTGATTACTTGGGAATAAAGATGGAAATGGAAGAGGCATGCAAATAATGAGGAAAAACTGTATAGAGATTTTTTCAGCATTTTAAAAAACGCGTTCCGATTCATCTCAAAGAAGGCAAATTTTCTAGGAAATTATAAATTTACATTTATATAGAAATCATGAAAAATTTTGAAATATTTTTATGCAAAAACTGTGCATAAGAAACATGCAAAAAGAATTGTAAGAAAAAATGTTATCGCCTACAACACACGTAGGATGAGATTATTTCCCTATTGATCTCTAATGCTGTGATGTTAATACATCTTTTTTTTTTCGCGTACAAATCACACGATACAAACAGAGGATGGCAGAAGAGCTCTCTCGTTTCGACTCTCTCGTTTACGCCGCATTTACGTCGCGCTGATTTTTCAGTAGGAGTAGCGTTATCAGTTGTCACGCTAGACGAACTGTTATTTATTATGTAATAGGCGCATCATTGTTTACACAAGTACGCACACTTACACGTACATAGACGTACGCAAACAGACCGAATATCACCGGGCGACAGCTGGACGATGATATTATTATATCGATAACTGCGAAGGGAAGAGGTATGAACCAATTATATACACGCTCTAGCTAGATCATAGCCAAGATTGATTTTAGACTGGACTACGAAGTATTGATAATGTGTATGTTTCCACGAGTAAAAAAAAAATACGATAGGCCGCTCGCAATCACTCGCAATACGAATAATAGCAATGTAAATGAATCGTGTGATGAGAGAAAAAGGGGGGGAAAAAGTGAGAGAAAAAATCGGCGAGCGCGGGCCTTCGTCGAGCACTGCTAAGATTTTTAACTTTTACAAGGAGAGACTCGAGTTAAGAGTGCAATTGATATCTAGTACAATTTTCTGAACCCGCGTGGCCGGCGGGAGGTACATAATAATGTGTATGTTTCAGTGATTATCTCACTTTTCGATATACATATATATATATATATATATATTATTATTATTATTGGAATAATAAAAAATTAGTGCCGAATCGACGCAATCGACTTTGTTATTGCTACTTTTTGTTATTATACATCCAGTTTTCGTGTAAGAGATATTCCCTTTCTGTTATGATATATACTCAAGGGGTCGAAGAAAAGAGAAAGACAGTACTAACGTGCGTGTCTCTGACTTTGCTGATTTATTATTATAAACGATAAGGTACAATAATACATTATAGTACTATTACATTTCTGCGCAGTTAGTTAGAGACGATAAAAATAAATTATATATGTATATACAATTATATATAAATAAGCAAATATATATATATATAATTATATAAAAATAAAATTTATAATTTATATGTAAATTATCATTTATATTTATATATAAATTATAAATGTTATTCTTATATAATTATTTACATATACATTTATTTATATATAATTATATATGTACAAATATATATAATTAATATATATTCATATATATATATACATATAAATATATATAAATTATACATATATAAAATTTAATCTCAAGTAGAGTGTAAATCCGTAATAAATATTAAATTAATTGTGTAAAAACTTAAAAACGAACGTAAGTGTCCTAGACATTGTGCTGTAAAGTTCCATGAGGGAGGTCGCGTCCCTTTTCGCGAACACACGTCAGTAGCCAAATTAATTAAATATTAATCGCACGAGGAAAACTGGGCCTTTATGGCCTTTTTCAGCGGTGTCAAAATTTTTCGTTTAAACATCAGACGGGTGTGTCGAATACACGAATTTCTCAATTTCTGAATCGCAAAAGCAACGTGCGAATTGAACAGAACAGGATCCGGCTATCTCCGGCGTCACGGAGGAGGCGGAAGCCTTAAAATCCTCCGTCGGAAACGGAAGCGAGATAAAAGATTCCGCACGCGAGGAAACCGTATTCTCCTCCGATAACGATCTCGCTTGTGCACAATTCCGCGATTATCTCGCGACTCATTTGAGTGAGGCACTGTGTGGTGCGTCTCACGTTAATTACACAGTGAAATAGAACGAAGATAACCACCAGATCGGCTACAGAACGTTGTTCCTCCTCACGACATATGTATACTGCACACGGCGAACACACGAACGCTCCCGTATTTAGCGTATATAAAATATAAACTCTCGGAAAAAAAAAATTCAATTCCCTTTCCTCCATTCTTTACATCTTTTGGTTATTGCGTCACAGCAGATCAGTAAATACCAAAAAAAAAAAAATAATGATAATTCCTACATTGAAATAGGTAGACTAGACTATGCTAAATCACGATTCCATCCCCCGCCGCGCAACGGCTGCAACGGGCTGCTCGTTACACGGCCGGAATTGAAATCACCATCGGACTTGTGAGGGCGGGGGGAGGGAAGGACCGCCTTCCACGATATCGCTACTTACAAAAGCGCGGGATTTGTCTCTTGATTGAATGGATCTTTACCGCGTGTCTTCGTCTAAAGAGTAAAGTATTAGTCTTTCACGATTAAATCCTTTTCCCCGCCGAGAAACGCGCGTTTCCTCGACCCGATTAGGCGGACATAGCAAAAGAATCGTTACAAATAACGGTGTAATCTCGCTTAAAAAAAAAAAAAAATACTCTCCTCCGCGCGAATCTTAAGTTCCTCAGTCTAATCTACTTGCTACGATCTTACAGTAATTATTAATAACGCGTACGAAAGTTAAACAGCTGTCTTTCAATGTGTGGTTTCAACAAATCAATCTTGTCTCTTTTCTCTCTTTTTTTTTCTTTTTCGTTTGTCATTAACAACTAAACACAACATTTTTGTCCGCCGGGATTGTTCCGGTGCGGCAGAATGTCGCACGTGCGGTGCCATGTATGGTATTCGCAAAATAACGACGCGTGTAAATCGATCGAGAAGACAAAGTGATCGCGCGATCATTTGTTTTTTTTTATGCTGAATAAATAGAATATTTTTCACACTCTAATGACTAGCGTGTTCGATCGCACGAAGCGCGTGAATCCGCGATGATTCGTATTTGGTTGCGTCTCCTCGGCACTTTTCGACACTTTCCTCGAGATTTCAACGAAATTCTTCGACGCTTCGGCTCTCACGACTCTTTCCCTCAAGGAAAGAGTTCTCTCTTTTTTTTGATCTTTTCAATCTTCATTTTTTTTTTCAATCTTGTTACGACCGACAAGACATTACAGCGCGCGCACACACGTCGTATATCTCTGAAAATTTATCGTCGCCAAGGTGAGGGGGGGGAGGGAGGAGGATAAACGGGAGGAAGGCGACAAAATTGACCTCCGGCCTCACTCGGGATCGGTTTCCGCCTCGCCGATCGGCAATATCGCAACGGGGCCAGCGGCTGCTAGCTTGGCTTTGTACGCCTCCGGTTCGAACCAGCGAATCGGTGCCTGTCAAGAGAGAGAGAGAGAGATTACAGTTCCCGGGCCGGGGTGTCCTCGCGCGATATCGGTGAGAAAGCAAATAATCCCTTTACCTTACAAGCTTGTTAAATCTTCTTTCTTGTTACAAGCCAGCATGCTTCGAGCCGGGTTGGTAAGCCGTGTGTTAAATTGCTTGGTGTAAGGGCAACATGCAGGCGGTATAATCGTAAGTCTTACGCACACACTTGCGCGAGCGCAATTCGCACGACGCTTTCCCCTCACTTGGAATGTTAATTAATTAATTTGACTTGCGCGCGCAACTCTCTTTCTCTTACGTTTGCTATCAATGCATAGATTAAGTTTAATCTCGGGGGTTGTTTATTAACTTTAACTAATTATTAATTTTAATCTCTTCGACTTTACATTTTTTTTTGTCTAATTTTTAGAACTAGAAAAAGTTAAATTAAGTTAATTAGTAGAGATAAACGTTAGACATGAATATTTGCAAGCATGCATTTAATCCGGGAATTGTCACACATCGGGATAAATTTTTACATCTCGGCAGCGAGAAACTGTAGCTTAGTTACAATGGATTTTCTTCACTAATCGAGAATTTATTTCTATTTTTATTTATTTCTCCTTTCTTTTTTAACAAAATATTGAGTAAATCGATCATGATCAAATATTAAATTGTAAAATACAATCAAAATCAATATATAACACGTAGCTAATAATAGTGATTTTTAATTGAGATGTAAAAAGACCAGATTGTTTACACGAAAAAAAAAATTGAGTAACCATCCTCGGATTAAGCCAATTGTTGCGAAGCGTCGTGCGAACTGCGCTCGTCCAGTTTACGAAGAAACGCGCAGAGAGCAAGATTCAGCGGATTTTGCAATACTCATTTATTAATACAGCGTGTATGTGAGTTTAACACACAGCACTAGTTTCATTAGTCTAGTCTTATTAGCCTCTTTGTATACAAGATTAAATTAAACAATCTCATGTTCAAATAATCTCTTAACAGAGCTCAAAGAGAGAAAAAGAGGGAGAGAGAAAGAGAGAGAGAAAAAGAAAGGGAAACAAAAATATAAAAAATAAAGTTTTTCACAATAATATGAACAAATAACACAATATAGTGATGTAGTAAGGAAAAACAGTTTAAAAACGTAATAAGTATATATCTCTAAATTCGAAAATATAGGAACATATAGACTCTTTCGAATTTCGGGTACAAAGAATAACATCGTATAAAACTTTGTACGCAATAAATACTGGATGACAGTTTCACGTAACAACCCAATTAAATTTTGATTAGCTCCTCACGTAGCTGAACACAAAAAATGTGTTCGAATCACACTTTGCGATGTCTTACGAAAATTCGCGTTCAGTCAATTAATCGCGCGCGTTTAACACGCAAAATCTTCTTCGTTTCTTTTCGTGGAAACTTAATCGTTAACGCGTAAACAACGTAAAAAAAATATATATATATATATCACGTATCATGAAACTCGCCTACAGTCTCTTTGGTCTTGAGTAACTTTTAGAAATTTCGCCGTCTCCCCTTATATTATTGCAAAAGATCTAATCTCTAGTCACACGTACTCGTGAAGGGAGATGCCAAAGTCTTTTCAAATGTGCGAGATAATATTTTGAGATTCACACGTTCCTGAATAATCTCTGTTAAATCCTCCTCTCAATTAATTATTAAATAAAGTCCGGTAAATACAGTCGTCGTATTTGCCTTCTTTCTAAAAAAATAAAAAAAAAAGCTGCCTTCTTCTGCGTCTCAGAAGAGATTAAATACGGGGAGGCCCGATTGTCACGATCGTTTGTTAAACGGAGCCGAGCACGGTCTTCTTCCGTTTCATCTTCCGCCTGGAATGCATGCCGGGTTAAAGGAGTACCGCAGTATGTAATCGCACACTCGGCAAAACACACACGCACAACACCGCATCATTGGAAACGCAGAGACTTCTCTCTCCCGGCGCGGGAGGGGGGGGACGTTAATGGTAAATAGAGTAGTGAGTATTATGATGCGTGTTGTAATATCAGGAGCATTAAACCGCGACGTTGCAGGGAAGAGTAACGCGGAAGGTTTTGCACGGTAAAATATTGGCGTTCCTGTCGCACAGCGGTACCTTACGAACTATATTGGGACATTCCCTCTGTATGCGCGCCCAATCGGCCGGCGGCCGCTTCGCAAACGGGCCCGACGCAGTCAGCAGTAGAAGCTCGTACGTAAGTTCTCTCGCTTCTGGAACTGAGCAAACGGGACAGAAAGGTGTTGATTAAAAGTGACGTATTTATTCTGTGATTAAAACTAGTTTACTTATTCTGACTAAAATTCATTTACTCGCTTTGATTTAAATTGATTTAAAATTACTTTGTTATTCGTTCTAGTTGACTGACCAGATTTATATTTTATAAACCCGATTCGACCAAATTTAATTTCAATGAAATTAATTAGAATAATATAAATGGCATGGATAAACGGGATTTCCTCGAATTTTTCTTTTCCATTGTGATAATTAATTCCATTGTCCATTTGTGATTATACTACTCTAATTTGATGCTGAATAATGTTACACTGCACTCTTCTATTCGAGTACCTTGTTGAATCGAGCCTCGCTCTTCGGAGATCGGACGAGGCTTGTAAGTTTCTTCGCTCTCCGACGAGGTCGCGGCGCTTTCCACACTTAACTCTCGGCCCAGAGAAACAGGAGCGTTCACATTGTCCAACGGCGACAACGGCGTGCGGAGAAGGTTGGGGGTGGAGGTGGTGTTTACGTTGAAGCTGGGCTCGTCCTCGTAATTGAAGTACTCTATCCCGCTGGTGAAGTTCTCAGAGTCGCCCAAGAAGTGCTCGTCCAGCACCAGTTTTGCCGTCTGCAAAGTCATCAGTTTACAAAAATTACACGAATAAAAAGGCAGGTAGGACACATATTTACATTACAACAAATCTAATCTTTAATTTAATTTATCAATACCTAAGGGCTTACAATTAGATTATAGTTAGATATCGGAATTAGACATCAATAGCTAAGCTGGATCTTTCGTTTAGTAAGTTTAGTTTAATAATTTGTTTTCATTACCCTGACGAGGTCGAGATTGCAGCCCGTGATTTTGAGGGACTGGTTGCCGACGGTGACGGTGTACTTGTATTCGCCTATGCTGGCGTCGTTGGTGGAAAGACTGTGCAGGAGGGACGAGCGTAGGCGTGAGTTGTGCTGCTGATTCTGCTGCTGCTGCAGCCGGTTGCTCTCGTCCGACGCGCTGCTGTTGAGCGAGGAGCTGGAGCCGCCCATGGCCCCCTTCTCGCCGCCGGTGCTCTGCTCCAGTCTCACTGGCGATGCATTTCGTTGTATCGTATCTTTGATTAAGTCCTTCGCATAACTGAGAGAAAAAGGGAGGTGAGACGTGTGAAAAAAGTCGCAACGTTACTCGCTAAACATGCTGTTATTATTACAAGTAGATCTCTAGGTATAGAATACAATTATTGTTCCTTAAACTTGTATTAGTATAAAAAAACTTCTACTTGTCTCTATTTAAAAAATATATTATTTAGACATACTGAATCTTGTCCTCAGACGTTCCCGTGATTTGGACAAGTCGTTCTTTAGCTCCAGGGTTTACTACAAACCAAGATACAATGGTATCAGTGGCGCAGTCTTGTCAATATTGATATATGTGTCCATTTAAAAGAAAAAAAGAAAATCAATGTGGTAGTTGTCGTTAACATAACTTTTACACAAGTCTAATGACACGGTTAATGTGTGTTAAACGAGATGTAATATTAAATATTGTTAAGATATGTCGCCAAAGCGAGGTAAGTACGATGTAAGTACAACGTATATTAAAAAAATATACATTTGGGAGGCATGTTTGAAGTCGCACTTAAATTAAAACCGTTTCAGTTGAGTGCGATATTAACCAGAAACCGTGTCGAAGTATTAATGCGAACCTTCCTGACCACGTGGGACCCGCGATGTACGATCGATCCGTCGACCTGGCGTTAATATGATTGGTAATGTAATATATCTCTACTCGGCTCTTAAAGCGAACGCAACATTCATATGCTTCGCTGATCGGGTTGTTAAAGAGACACACATTCCACAATCGATTAATAAAGTGCACGTATTAGATCGAGAAAAAAAATAAAACACTTCGAGAGAAAGTAGAATACTTCGTCTCATACTTATACGATTTTAACAGAACAAAAAATAAAAGCGGGAAAATAATAAAAGACATAAATTTAATCCTTGATCGCGCGGTGTAACGCGACTTCTCCGTCGTCACGTGAGAGAAAGCTAAAACGTGCTGTTGCGCTTCTCGATTAGTATATCACGTTGCAAAGAAAACTAAGCACTGACTCTCAATAGCGGCCTGATCACACGCTGGTTAGATAATAGCTTCGTCATGCAAACTACGAGTGACCTGATAAGAAATATTGGCCGCGACTTTTTGTTACAGACGTGAATATATTTTTTGGTTGTTTTACATACGTATGATATTTTAACGACGACAGAGTGAATGACAACACAAGTATCGCCGCGTCAAACTCAATGCTCGATGATGTGTGAGAAAGAGAGGGAGGATTAGAGAGGCGTTTTTATTTTTTTGCGGCACACAAGGGAGCCTCGTTCGAGCCGATTAATATTGTTCTTGCGATGCATGAGCACAAAATGCTGTGGCAAGCCATTATTGGCGGATCATTCATTTTGCTTTTTACCTCGCTGGAAGGAGATGATCGTCTGGCTGAGCTCCTCTATCATGTGAACTCGCCGCCCTTTTATTCCCATCACTGTATTTTCGTGCAAATCATTTAACAACAGAACGACCAAGATAATTCGGGAAATCATTTAAAAAGAGTCTGATTACAATCCGAGAGATTGGTTGCACCTTTGCATAAAAATCAGATCGTTGCTCCCATCTCGCAAAAATCTACAAAATTCCTACTACTGATCGCACCGCGATATTACTGAAGATTACTGCAAGATACAGTTTTTACAAAGTACAACATAACGAAAAAGGTTGCATTTTGTGATCCGTGTAAAGAAAAAAAAAAACGAATATACCCGTTTAATTCAACGGAAATTCTATACAACGAGAATAAAAGCAATTGAATTTTACCTTTGCCCGAGTCGCTGTTGCGAATGACGACCTCGTCTTTGCAGTAATTTTTCCCCGGTATGCGCGTAGGCTTCGCGAACTTCCCGCTATTCTTGAGCACCTCTCCGGGCCCCAGGATCGGCGCCGAGGTGGGTGAAGTCAACAACGGGGACGACAGAGAGTTCGTAGGTGTATCGGGTACCGCCTCGGTCTGTTAGAAGAAAAATCTTTAATCTAATGTTAAATAAAAAGAGTGTTCATTTACCAAGATTTTTTTCGTAGATATTTTGAGACTATATATCGAGAGATAGAAAATATCTATCTTTCTCGAGAGAGAGAATAAAAGCTAACAAGTAAACCTCGGGGAACGTCAAACACTGATTTTTCTCAAATTTTTTTACAGATGTTTCTTATGTCAAAATATGAAAGAATCTGTCATTAGTTTTAGTTCAAATTCATTTTTTCTATTAAACAAAATTTGTTTTATTTTACGTAAATACACGACTTTACATATATTTAGAGCTGTATTTCTTACAAAAATGAATCTACACTCAATTTTTTGAAACTTTTTTGTTACTTTTTTATATTTTTTTAATAGATTTTTGAGTATAGATTCATTTTTGTATGAAATACAGCTTTAAATATGTAAAGCCGTGTATTTACGTAATAAAAAAAATTTTTTTTAATCAAAAAAATGAATTTAAATTAATTACAGATTTCATATTTCGACATAAGAAACGTCTGTAAAAAATTTGAGAAAAATTGACGTCTGACGTTCCCCAAGGTTTATTTGTAAGAATAAAAGCTACCTAGATAATATAAAAAAAAATTTCAAAAATTAATTAAAAATTTTACTTTCATCGAGTAAGATTATTAATTTTGTAATCCGGTTTTCGTTCTTGCACGCCTCAATTATAATTTCGAAAAGTTACAAGAGTGTGAAGAAGCTATGAATGAAATATACGGTTTTACCAACATTGTCTAAATGCGACAGCTTCTGCATGTAGTACACGTCCATCGAATCGGTGTGACGCCATTGCTTCGCTCGCAGCTCGATGAGTTCCAGCAGATGAACCCTGGTCGTCAAATCTAATCTGTCGTCCTGGCTCCCATTTCTGATCGCCACAAAGGCCCGATCCAGCTGATCTAGAGAAAAAAAAAAAAAAATAAAAGAAAATAGTTATTCGCGAAATCCGGCCGTTATTTAAACGCGCGTGGAACGAAATCTATCGTCAAATTGCAATCTACCATGAAAGATCTATTCAGTCAAAAAGCAAGAGAGAGAACTACTTAATTTTGTGCAAACTACCGTGCTGGCCTTTCAAGATACGTTCTGTGCGCACCGAGGAATCCTTTACCTTTGTAAATAGCTTCTAATTGGTTGGCATAGAGTTTCAGATGACTACACATAGAGATCACATTCATTTGCAGCGTTCGGTCATGGAAGCCATTGGTCAGTTGCATTGCAACATTGTCGATTAAGGACACTATATCCTCTACTGAAAAGTCAGAAGAGAGCAAAGAGAGTTCAGAAAAAAGAGAGTTCAATCGTCCGATCTAATTCGGGGGGAAGAGTAAACGCAGCTTGTTAAATATATCAAATATACGCTTTACAAGGAAACGATTACGTATCTTTATACAAAAACTCTGCCGTTACTTGCGGTGAGGAGAATAAGTGAGAAGAAGATTTACCAGTCGTGATCCGCCCATCGACGGTCGAGTTGCGCTGGTTAAGCTTAAGCGGCCGTGGTTTTTCGAGCTTCTTTACGGTCCTGGCCCTGTTCAATTGTGCGGTAGCCATTGTGATTCTGCAACAAAGGATGTCTATATTACATAAATGTAAATCGAGCCCAAGTATTTTATTATTATTATTATAACCCGGTCAAATTGCGACGCGTTAATTGATAATTATTTTGATGCGTTACTGTTAAAAATATTATTCTCGATGCTAACTTTAGGTCATTTAGACACAGAGACGTTTATTATAAGGAGAAAGTATCGCAGAGCGCGAATGAAAGTTTCGTTCCGTGGAGGCCAAGGTTTTTCGCGAACGGCTACATGCCACATTGCCTTCCGATAAATTCTCTATTCGTCTCTCCCGTAATGCGGGAGATTCATTAAGCGACACCCCGGCGACACGCCACGCGGTTTGTTCCAAATTCGGACTCTTTCGCAAGGTAAAAAGTCTTTCGGAACGGCAAAACCCGACGGCGGGTGAATCACTGTTATCTTTCGCCCCGGATCCGCCGTTTCGCGGGCGACGAAAATAATTTAATTCGCGACAAGTGCGTTCGTCGTCGCCGTCGTGAACCGGCGAACGAATCGCGTAGCAAAACAGAGAGCCGGCGTGGAGGGCTCGCGGTGGTGGAGAATCCCGGCGACTCTTCGCGCCACCCTCGCCACCCTCGTCCTCCAAAAATACACTCCCATCTGCGCGACACGCACGTGCACCGTGCAACCACGGTTAGGCGTTTGTCGCGCTAATCGGGCTACAAAAATTCGGCGGCAAATCGTTTCATCTATGAAGAAACGTCCACGTATATATATGTATAATTGGAGATAACGCATTGCACAGTCGTGGACAAATAGATTGCGACACTTTTTTATACTTATTTATTTGTCCACGACTGTACATGGCTGTCGAGAACAGATTCTGCAGTGCCTGCTACAAATTTCGTCGACAGAGACTACAGATTTACACACAAGATCTGGCGTATGTATGTTCAGTCATTCGGATGACAGAAATGTAATAATGCTTATCAACAAAATATGAGAAGGCAGATCAATGGCAAAAATCAAGTAGATTTTAATTTTCCTGGTGAGAAAAAAAATTCTCTTAACATTCCAGAATATTTTTAAGAATTTTTCATATTTTAAATTTATGAAGATCTATAAAAAAAAATCTTAAACTTTTACGGATATTAAATTTTCTCTAAAAATTACAGGAGAAATCTTAGAATATTTCAAAATTTGCAAAAAAATTATAAAAAAGATGTAGACTCTCTTAGCGAGAAGTCCCGATAAAAAATCTGATAAATTTAAGTAACAAAAACTATACAGAAGTCGTGAAAAATTCTGAAATTTATATCGAAATGCTGAAGAGTTTTAAGAAAAATTCTCGCCAGGATTATTACATAGTTTGATGCAGAAATTATTATATTATGGAAATCTGATCAGAATCCGTTTCTGGATCTCAACGGATTCTACTCGATTTCTGTCACCAATCAGCTGTCAAGTTATGACGACAGACTCTGCCGACAAAATATGAGCTTTAATGCGGACACAATTGATGCCGATTTACTAACAATTTCTGATCGAATTTATTATCAATTCACTAGCAAATTTCAAATAGTTTACTGCCAAACGTAATTACATATACAATTATTATAATTATCATTTTTAGAGATATTATATGAATAAAAGAAAGTAAATTAAGAAAACTAATTTATATTTTTACTTGCATAGTTTATGGAATTTACATAGGGGAGATAATGATTTCCATATTACAACAAAGATATTACATAAAAAATTAATCAAATGCTCAAATAATATAATTTTAACGTTTTGAACTAAAAGCTAGTGAAATTACCGTACATGTGAATTGATATTATTCGATGCTTCGATTAGTATTAAAAATATTTATCAACTCGATTATTTGACCTACAAAAGCTTCTTACAAAGAGAAAATATCGTCTATAAAGAGAAAGGAAGTCCTTCACCTAATTCGAAGCCTCTGTTGTTAAATTCGCTAGAAACTCGAACTCGATTCTGGTTATATCACAATCTCTTATCGCAATATGCAATACAATATTTAAGGACTGCTAAGTCACGTTTTGCGCCCTAGCGCAATTCTCAGAAAAGGGGGGAAGGGAGGTAGAAAGAGAAACGTGGATGACGCGACGCGGAGACGGTCGCGAGGGGAGACAGAGAGCGAATGAAAAAGAAAAAGGAAATGGCAAGAGAGCGAGAGAAAGAGACCGCATTGTAGCATTTGTAGCGTCGCGGTTAAAACGCAAAAATATGCAATGTTAATCCGCGGGGGCGGGCGCATTCCCCGCGTGAATGTTTTTTCCCACGCGAGAGAGAAACAGCCGCGTTTCACGTTTACGCCGTAAAAGTCCCGAGGAGATCAACTCGGACGGAGAGAGAATATTGACCTCGAATTGTTCAAGTGCGATTTGTGTTACTTTTTCTCCTTCCCCTCCCCCTCCCGTCTTCCCGGAAGACGATCTCTCGGAGCGATTTCTAACATCGTGGACACGAGGCTTACAAGAAGGGGAGGGGAGAAGGGGGAAAGAAGAGACGAACGCGACAATAGATGCGAGAGAAAGGGGGGTGACATCCTTGGGAGGGAGGAGGGACGAAGAAACAACAACATAATAATAAGGCCGACGGTTCCGGCACTACACTTTTCGCCGCGCACCTCCCGCAATCCTCGGGGACGACGTAAACGCGTGTTGTTAACATGCACACGCATGTGCGCGTATAATACCTTCGCGTCTTCGCGGTGGCTAGGATGAGGTGAAGACTCGAGGGAGACGCGCGAGTGCAGGACGGTGGCAACTAGGCGAACGGATCTATTAGTATAACAGAGAAACGGAGAAATTATTTCTGGCGTTTTGTGTATATGTATGCGCGCGCGCGCGCGCGCGCGATCGCGTGAGACACGCGATGTACACACACACGCACAACACAACACACCACACGTACGCGCGGCCGCGGATGAGCGCACGCACGCACACAACACACGCGCGCTCGGATAATCGCACTTAACGCGCGCGGCGGCGGCGGGGGAACTCTCTTCCGCGGAATTCCGGATATGGAAAAGTGTCCCGCGGACGGGCGGGGGAGGGGAGGGGAGAGCGAGCGGCGGCGAGAAACGCGCGACGGAGAAGCGCACACGGCGGGCGCGCGTTTACGCCCCGTGGAAATTGAAGGGCCCGCGCGCGGACCGCGGGGTCCGCACACACGTTGAACGTACCTTTCGCGAGATCCACCGCCCCGTCGTCGGCCGTGCGCAAACGGATCAACGACACGCAGATCGTCCGGCTGGTGATCGCGAAGACGGACGGACGTCGTCCTATCGTCGACGTGCGCCGCGAAGATATAGCCGAGTGTCCCCGAGAACTGGCGGCCAGCAGCGCCGCCAACGTCGGACGACGGCAACCGGGATGAGGGGAGAAAAGTCACTACCCAGACAGCACAAAAAACTAAAAGATATAACGAAAAGATTGTCTTTTTTAAGTTATCTTTTCGACAAGCCGAAAAGATGACGAAAATAAAATTAAATAAATAAAATTATTTTATTTTATTTTATTATTAAATTAATAAAATTTATTGAATTATGCTCTCGCACTTGTAGCAGTTGTAGCAGTATAGCGCGCGTGCATTCGAACCCGGTCACTTAGCGGAGATTCAAACCCCACTTAGCGAAGATTCGAACCTTACTTATCGGAGACTCGAACCCAACTTAGCAGAGACACGAACCACATTTTAGCGGAGATTTATTGAATAATGAATTTATTCTCTTGCATTTGTAGTGCAGTTATAGCGCGCGCGCATTCAAATATTTCGAATATCCCACTTAGCGGAGACTCAAACCCCACTTAGCGAAGATTCAAACGTACCTCACTTTAGCGGATATATTGTTTTTAATTATACAATTATAACTTTATCTATATATAAAACCTCTATATAAAATTATATCTATATAAATATTTATGAGTACATTTCAAACAGCTAAAAATAAAAATATACGTGAAATTATTTACTATACATGAGTTTCCTCTCTATTCTAATTTCCTTGTTTCAAGTTTCCTCTCTTTATATTCTACCTTCGATGTATTAAGGGAACCCAACCTACCTAACCTACATAATCACTGCCGACTGTTGTCGCGTGTTGTCGACTTATTTATCATAATTGTCGTTGTTTCCATCAAATGTCGAATTAAAACGTTGAATTAAAGTATACAGGCAACCCACGAAATTAGTGTCAACATACACAATGTCCATATTTGCGAGGCGGATACTTTCATGCAACTGTAACCACTTCATCTAATTCTACGTGAAAAAGTATCACTCGTTGTACAATAATATATCCAGTAACATGTTTCCTGTTTGCAGTCTCGAGAGAGTGGCAATGTTTGCGACCTGTCATCCGTAATACTCATCTTCTACGGTGTCAATTGTCAACCCAGACTCAACCGAGCACAGAAGAATCAAGTAAATATAAATGCACATATCTATACGTAAATTGGATCTCGGATATTCTACTTTTTATTTCTGCAATCATTTATTTAATTTTCAACAATAGGGAACTTTAATTTTACCTTAGTGAACTTTAACGTTATCTTCACGACGTAATATTTTCCATTGCACATGTGTAGATGTTTCCACCACCCCGGAAAGCTCGGAGGCCACGACGTTGGATCCGCTGACGCATCCCGACTTCTTCCAAGTGCACAAGATGTTCACCGTGAGGGACCTGTACGACGCGCGGGTGCACTATGGCCACAAGGAGACGTCGCTGCACGAGCAGATGGAGACGTTCGTGTTTGGCTCCAGGATGGGCCACCTGATAATCGACCTGGACCAGACCGCCGAGCTGTTGAGGCAGGCGTTGAACTTCACCGCCCACATCGCCCTACGCGGCGGCATCATCCTGTTCATCTCGCGCAATCCCCAGGTGACGCATCTGGTCGACCGGACGGCCAAGGAGTGCAGGGAGTTCTCGCAGACGCGTTACTGGCGCCCCGGGCTGTTCCCGAACTCGCAGAATCAGTTCAAGGCGACGACGCGACTGCCGGACCTGTGCATCTTCCTCAGCACCCTCGACTCCGTCATGGCCGAGCACACGGCGGTGAGGCACGCGGCGAAGATGTGCATACCCACCATCGGCATAGTCGACACGAACTGCAATCCGAATCTTATAACGTACCCCGTGCCCGGCAACGACGACTCCCCGTGCGCCATCGAGCTCTACTGCTCGTTGTTCAAAGAGGCCATCATGAGAGGGAAGAAGGCTAGGGAACGGCTGATGCAGTGTGCGGAGTCGGCTGATGAGTAATCTTTAAGTTAAATCTTGGATAAGTAATTCATGATTAAGCAAATATGTATAAGTGTACAAAAAAATATAACAAGACATCAAAATATGTTCTTTTCTTTTAATCGAAGAGCAGGGTTACGAGTAATAAAATTATTTGATATAAATGATTTTAAAAAATGAAAAAAAAAAACAATATTAAGATTGTGAGGGAATTTATGATTTAATGATCAGTTAATGTTTTTATATTTTATTGTTATAATGTAATATACATCTCTTATATATATGTAAAAAAATTGTTCTCATGGCACTTATGTGAAGAACATTTTGGGAAATATGATCCAAAAATAGCTGTCGTAGGAATATTGAAATATTTAGTGATGATAATTTGATTACTTCTTGACAGCGTTAGCATCTCGTAGTTTCTGCAGATACTTCAGACCTAAAGTCTTTATCAACCTATATAAAAGAAAAAAAATCATCAGACATGATATGAACATTGAACAAAGATTCGTTAATTTTCTTTTTCAATTGTATTATTATACGTCTAAAGTTAACTTAAAAAAATTGCAATTTCCAACAAAATTCAATTTTTACGTATCAAATGTACTTTATGTATCTATTATATATTCTAATTTTTACGGTTTCCATAAAACAATTCTAATCTTAATTTTATCGCGAGATAAAATAGATAGATTGGATAAGACGGATTGGGCCTAAGGTGGATCTAAGAGGAAAATTAACGAACTTGTCGATATATTTTATATATATATATATATGATAGAACCGTTATGCAAGACGTACCATCTGGCGAAATTCGGGAAACAATAATACAAATATGTAATTCGTAATACGGGCGGTGTAGCGATCCACACTTCGTTCAATTTATTCGCAATCGCGATGCCCATTAATGCTGCGCAACGTTCCGCGCTGACTTTGGTTTTAGCTGTATCCGTTGATACGCCATATTCCTAAAAAAAAAAAAAAAATGATAATGTCAGCAATTATCAACACGTACAATAATATGTATATATTAGCGATATATAATATATACAGATAATTGTCTGATAATCGTGCCACTTCTCGTGAACAGATAAGGGACCGTCTATATATTACGTAAGCATAACTGGGGGAGGGGGGGGGGTCAGTCAAATTCTGACATTTGCTTACATAGGAGAGGGGGGGATCAAAAATAGCCAAAAATATGCTTACGTAATATATGGACGGCCCCTAGCGGTTAAACTGCATAGACGTTTTACCGCTTTTTGTCATATCTTTTTGCAAGTTTTTCAATCATTAATTATATAATAAACTCGTGTGTGTGTATGTGTATGTATATATATATATATATATATATATGTATATTTATATATAATAAACTTATATTCACATAGATCTTTATTAATTTCTCATTAATGATTGAGAAACTCGCAAAAAGGTAAGACAAAAAGCAGTAAAATGTCTATTTAGTTTAACCGCTCTATCAAATTAAAGCTTATTTTATATATATATAAAATAGACTTTAATTTAAGAAAATGATGCATAGTGTCATTGATACATTGCGTAGTAAAGTATTTTACGAAAGTTGTGAATAAATGTATATAAAACAGGCAATGATATCTTAAAGTTGTGTACTTGTAACACGTGTTTAGTGCCGCAGTAGGTCGACATCAGTCATTAAAAATCCCGCGATACTCGAAGTATTGACGATTTAATCTCCGCCCATTTTTAAAATGTGTTTGATTGCTAATTAGTAGTAAAGTATTTTACGAAAGTTGTGAATAAATGTATATAAAACAGGAAATGATATCTTAAAGTTTGCTAATTAACAATCAAACACATTTTAAAAATGGGCGGAAATCAAATCGTCAATACTTCGAGTATCGCGGGATTTTTAATGACTGATGTCGACCTACTGCGGCACTAAGCACGTCTTACAAGTAAACAACTTTAAGATATCATTGCCTGTTTTATATACATTTATTCACAACTTTTTTAAAATACTTTACTACGCAATGTATCAATGATACTATACATCATTTTCTTAAATTAAAATCTATTTTATATACACACACATATATATATATATATATATATATATATATATATATGTATATGTATATAAATTTGAAAAAAAACTATATCAAAACAGTTATGGAAAGATGTAAACGGAGTTGAATTGGATTTAACATTTTTCAACTTTTTCGTGTCGCTGCAATGCGTTTACGTCAGCAATATTTTCATGTCTCATATATCGTAAACTCCGTGAAATATTCTGTGCAAACATAAACAGATTTTTGTCTGATATAAGCACATACCTCGCCAGGTTTCTCCGTGAAACTCTTTTCTAGAAATCCGGTCTGCACCGGACCCGGGCAAACCATTGTCACGCTGATGAGCTTGTCGGGGTGCTCCATGAACAGCGGTTTGAAATAGCCCTGCAAAATTGTGTATAGTGTATACACACTGATATACTGCATACAGTATAAAGTATTTTACGAAAGTTGCGAATAAATGTTTATAAAACAATAGAAATATCTTAAAGCTGTTTACGTGTAAAGCGTGTTTCGTGGCACAATAAGTCGGGGATATTGGTGTTGGTACAAATCCCGCGATGCTCGAAGTGTTGACGATTTGACCTCCGCCCACTTTCAGAAAGTATTTGACTGCTAATCTACTCAAGGATAAGACGGAAAATACATTCAAGTCAAACATTTCTTTATCGACCGCAATTTCGATGTTCTCCCATTTCGCTCTTTGACTACGACCGGCATTGCTGACGAGTATGTCCAACTGAAATGTAGAAAGGCACGTAGCAAGATAATTTAAATTTAAGAGATAAAATATTAACGACGAATATTAGCGACGAATGTACGGAGGCCAACGGAGGGCCTTCATGAAATAGGATTTCGATCGAAAGATTGATATAAAGGCTATATATTGATTTTTATCGGCGCAAAAAAATGTGGACTGTTAGAATGTACCTTGCCGAATTTGTCGGTCACATCCCGGAACGCTTTCTCGTGCAAGTTCAAGTCAAGCACGTTCATGGGATAGATTTCCACATCGTTGTCGGTCAAGCATTTGTTCTCTGCAAAGGAACACAATACAATTTTGAATGCACTTTTATGAAGAATCGATAATGGTAACAAGTGATATTTTTTTTTTAAGATTTATTTTAAGAGTTTATAATCTTCAGTCTGACTTAAATTATTAGGGGAAAAAAATGTTCGCGATAACAGCGAGTTGGCGTAATTTCATTTCGGATTCATTTTCGTCGAAAAATGTCATATCAACTAATTAAATTTTAATCGACGAAGAGCATTGATGTTTTGCGCGAAAGATTTTTTTGCAGAAGTTTGCAGAAGGATGTCAATTGTACCTTCCAAACATGTCTTCTTCACTCGTTCTAATTCAGCGACTCTGCGAGCGGACAGGATTAATTTGCAGCCCGCTTTGGCCAGCACGTAAGCCAAATGTTCTCCGATGCCAGAGGATGCACCCGTTATCCATACCGTCTTGCCTTTTAACGAAGCTGTGACAACGTAAGCAAAATTGATCGAATTGTTTGTCATCATTTATTCATTCATTTGAACGCGATTTATTAATTCGCGACAGATTTTCGGAGAACTAATAATGAAAGATAATAAATTATAAATCACAACGATAAAGTAATATGAATTATAATAATTTTTACTATATTATTATAATACAGTAAATATAATATAATAAGTTATTAAATATAATTAGTCAATTTATAATATAGTAATGTATAATATAATAAGTCAAAAGATAAAAAAGGCTTTAATAACATAAAATTAATACAATAACAATTAGGGGCCACGAGCCAAGCAAGTTGTTTAATGCTACGATTTAAATGTGTCAATACAAATTGAAAAGTCTATGTAACATTTAGTCTATGTAACATTGATAATGACCGGATAACGATTGAAATATCTGTTTCCAATTTGTATTGACATATTTAAATTTTAGCAAATTAAACAACGTGTTTAGCACGTGGTCCCTAATTGTTATTGTATTTTAAATTATTAGAACCTTTTTTACCTTTTGACTTATTATATTATTAAATATTTCTCATTAGAGTCAAATTATGAAATACGAAAATTTTTTTAAATTAAATTATAATAATAAAATAATTTTTATTGTTACATAATTTAATATTTATTATATAATATAATAAAAATTATATTTATTATATTTTTTATTAGAGATTATTGAATAAATAACGATATGAGAATTTTTTTCAACCTCATATTGCGCGGGAATTTATTAGTAAGCAAATATAAAATTAACATCCGTTGAACAATAAGCTGTCTTTACAGCCTGTTTTGCGTTCCGACAATTCTTTCTGCAGGTAGAGATAATGTCGGATGTTAGTTTCATGTTTATTTAATTATTAATAAATTTCCATGTATTACTGAACGCATGGCAGTGAGTTCAGGAAAATTCTTATCATTTATCCGAAACTGCACGTACATGTATAGTGTCAAGTCTTGAATTCTATTATAGATACTGTCGAAATAGAATTTGCACATATTTACGCGATTGTTTAACTTGACTGACGAAAGTCGACACAAGGTGATAGAAAAGTTCTTCGGTATTCTTTGGACACATGCAAAAATAAAAAGTACTTACACACAGGTTTGCCGTATTTCTCCTTAAAAGCGAGCAGTAAGTCGCAGTCCAAGAAGGATGGGAGAATAATATAGATGGAATAATATAGTACAAATAGTAGACCGACGATTGCGAATAAGTCCATTCTTGATTACACTTATCTACGACGATATGAAATTATTTCTGAGAACAGAAAGAAGTTCAGTAAGACATCGTTATCGTGCACTCGAATGCATACACGATTTTGCTTTCTTATATGTAGTGTGGTTTTCTTTTTCGATTTCATGAATTTTTACGCGTACAATTTCTTTCTTTATTTATTTAAAAAAAAATGAGATCTTAAGGTTTGAAAAGCTTTTTTAAATTAGATATTGGATTAGAGAGAGAAAAAATTCTTTCAACTTTATTTAAAAATTACAGTTTCCGAGGCCTCTGTTTTATTTCATTTTTCCTTATTTTCTCCTTTTACCTTTTTAATGACTAATTTTTGTCTTATTATGAGGTGCAAAAAAAGATAAATGTTATAGCTGCCTAAAATAGTGCTAAAATTTGCATTAAAAAAATCAATGACTATGCAGTTTTAAAAAAAATCAATGACTATGCAAATTGTGCAAGATAACTATTCTATAAAAACAGGCAATGAAGATTAATTGGCAAAAACTGATTCGGCGATAGTATAAGGAGGATTGATATGTCCAATAATTTGTTAGTGAAGATCAAAGTCGGACTATGGAAGAAATGTTTTGACTTCTGCGAACAGAAGAAACCAGTAACAAATGTAGACAGATTAGAGCCATAACGAAATTCATCTGAGGTTAAGAACTCGACGAGAAATAAAGAACGAGGACGCTAGGCTGGCTAATGCAATTACTTACATATAATAATCGTCAATCATAGATGCAAATGAAATGTGACTTATGTTGGACTTTGCGACTTTTGTGTAGAGATTGCGACAACGAGAAGACTAATCTTCATGTATAATCATGCCCGGAATACGTTTCAGGCTAACACGTCATGCTGGGTTCAGAGTTTGTCAAGAAATTAATGGAACTTCGGAAACGTCTTTTTTTTTAGCCTAATTCAACTCGTGTTTAGAAAGAGGCAATAAATTGAATCTCCACCTCTCCCCCAATAAATCTATTATTGTTCTATTAAAAAAATGAATTACGTGGAATCTTTTACAATTTCCAGTACTTATAGAGATGGAAAAGAATTTTCAATTTTTTCCAAATATCATATATTTATTTAGCTTTCGTTCTTGGCCTTTCTTAAATACCGCGTGATTTTTATTTCTGCCTCGAGATATTTTCTAAAGTTTTGACTTAATAAAAAAAAATGATTTAATAAAAAAAAAATTGTTTCAAAAAAGATTATCGTGGCACATTTGCGACATTCTCTCTCTTTCAGATTCGAGAGAAAAAGTAACAGTTTTTAAAATCCCTTTAAAAATCAAAAGCAGGAACTCGAACACACGTGTGTGCCTGCCGTATAAATATATATTTCTCTTCACTTCCAAATGAATTAAAGTTCTATTCTTGCACAATTATTGTGTAATGAATTAACCATAACTGATAGATACATTTGTACGTACGTGAAAAATCAAAGGCGGATGTACGTGACGATATTACACGTGATGTAACATTAATTTTCAACAGCACGCACAGGCACACGCGCGTACAGATATCGCGTCAGTCATATGAGAGAAGAATCAATATCACGTTATATCGCGCAGGAATAGGCTTCCCGAGGAAGTGCTTGGTTAGTCGGCACTTAAGTGGCACGTCGTAGAGACGAAAAATCAACAATATCAACATACAATGAAAAAAGGCGAGATGAGGCCGCGGCTGCACGACGCCTAGCTCGTATATATATATATATACAGAGTTGCGCTTGCAGATAACGGAGCTCGACGTGCGTACGTACGTGTGGAAAAATGAAGAGCAAAACTGGATTAATGTACCGAAACAATGTACGGGGAACGAAACTCTCTCGCGTGAGACCGTCGCTCTCGTCGCGAGATCACACAGTGCCGAAATCCTTTCAATCGCTGACTGACGACACCGACTCAGCTGACGCATGCCAGCGTTGACGCGTGTGCCACCGGTTTGTGTGTGCCGGTATCACTACCGTAACACTGATCGTATATACAGCATGCTGCCAAAAGGGCACCACTATACCGACGTATCTCACGCCTCCAACTGCCTCCAACTCGCCCGAAGATATCCGAATTACACGGAGAGAATTTTAATTTAAAATTTACCCTAAATCGTGTTAATTGTAGGACTACATGGCACTTTGACGAATTGTTTAATGATTTTTACTATTTTTTTAAATATATATATACTACAACAAATTTATTGTAATGCATAGTAAAATTTATTGTAGTGTCCAGTAAAATTTGTCGAAATACTATGCTGTCCCACGATTAGCAAAATTTTCAGGATAAATTTTAAAAGAAAATTACTCTCCGTGTATCCGAAGAATTCCCAGAGAGGGATACCGTAGAACTCCTGAAAGCGACCGCGTCAAATCGACCTTAGTGGGAGTCGATATCAAAGATACTGATGTGTGACGTTATATGATTAATATTATCAGGGAACGATCAGAGGGGGGGAGGGAGGGGAAATAATAATGCGCAAACTCAAGAAACGTGCTACGAATAAACGAAACAAACGCAGGCGAGAGCCGGTTAAGTGGGTATAACATCAGTATTATTAAATTGATTATGAATTATATATATATATATATAAAATGTTTGTAAATGGGTATACATACATTCGAAGTACACTTACATAAGGAAGGGAGACTATATATATAACGATAGGAACGTATAAAGTTACGTTCCACTTCGTGTATTATGCGCATGATGTATCATTTTATCCTTGTTTAATCAGCAAACAACAAAAATAATGATACATCATATTTAATCCAGTAAACAACAAGAATAAAATTATACATCATGCGCATTATACATGAAACGGAAGACACCCTTAAACTGCAACTTAATCTGTAACTCGATCGCGTTATAGATCGCAGGGGATAGAATTCAATTCCTATTGTAATTTTATTTTGAAATTTTATTTATTGTACATATGTATTGTATTTATTATATTTATTGTATATATATTTATTTACACGCAAGCAAACACGCCTATACACATAAACGTATTAATATATTTAGCCAGGTACTCCTGATATTTAAAAAAAAAGAGAATTGCATAGGACAAATGAATCGTGACTCAATATATCGTGTATATACTAAAGATTAAATTAAAATATCAGAATTTTTTTAATTACAATATACATAATATATTAATTTATAGATATAAAATATTTACAATATTATATACAATATATAATATTGTGTATATAATACTATATTATATTTTTAATACATTTTAATGTATATTTTATATATGTGTCGTATTCTTTCTTTCTTTAAATATTTCGTGACACATATATCTGTTTTAAATTTTAACACTGAATTATCGATTGTTTGAAGTAAGCTTTAAACGTTAGATAATTTTAATGATAATCTATAGCGATACGGATAATTTCGATAGTTGTTCACCGCAATTGTAAGATAAACGATGTTTAAAAGATGCCTTTAGTGTGATAATTAACTTGAATGTTTCGCATCGCGAGTGGAAAAAGAACGAGTAAATTCGGAAAAATCCTTATAATTTATTATATTATTTATGATTATCTCTGGAATATTCCCTAATCTCTTAACAATATACATATACATATAATGTACCGCGTGTGCACGCATAGGCGTATACACACAAAGACACATATTTTGATCACCTGAAAGTAAGACAAGTACAAACGTCTTTAAACTTCAATATTTTTAAATCGAGAGAAGGTATGAACGATCATAGCAGAATCTTGATCAGCTTCTATTAATATTTTTATGTGAATTTTATAACGCATATTCTAGTATTTCCACAAAGTGCGCGCCGTTACTTTCGATTTCGACGCAGTTCTTGCTTGAAACAGAATATAGAATTCTCACGTTATTAAATTGATAATTAATTTAATAAGTATTGATGCTCACCGGCTCATTTAATAAGCATCTAAGACGCCCGCACGGAATGTAGGGAGGCCCAGATTCAAGCCCTGGCTAAAGTAATATTTTTTGCAATAAAAAATTTCTTAGCATTTACGTCGCGTCGCGGAGGAGGGGGAAATTTATTAGATACCGGTGAGCATCAGTACTTGAATTTTAAAAAATTCCGTTATTTTAATTTAACCTTATTAAATTGATTATCAATTTAATAATGTGAGATTACTATATTGTTTCAAGCAAAAACTGCGTCGAAATCGAAAGTAACGGCGGGTATAGTTTGTGGAACTAGAATATAATTATGTATGTAAAATTCATATAGAAATATTAGCAGCATCAAGATCTTGCAATGACTGTTCGTTGACCTTCTCTCAATTTAATTGTATTAAATATTGGAATATATATACATATATATATTATATCAATATTTTTGTTATAAATCACACGGCGATGCCGTTCGGACGTTTGCGCAAATAAGAAAGCGAGACATCGTTTTCGATATCTCACTTCAAAGCTCGAAAAATATTGTGTTTTGCGCATTTCTTAGAAATCTTAGGAACCTGCATATTGATATGTCTCGCTCTTTTGCAGTGAGTATTTATGGCATATTTGATAACTATATTGTGCGATCCGATTGTTGTTTATCACTCACATGAAGTTCACGTAAATTTATGTAAACTCATGTAAGGTTGCATAAATTATATTTCTTAAAAATGTTATCGGTTTTCTAAAATCTACAGTTTGCGCTCCATCAACGGAGTAAATTGAGGTAGGTATAATTTAGAAGGCAATAATTTTAGAAGCGTTGCCGATTGTTTATAATTGGTGTCTAGCTCCTGGACGCTCTTCTCATCCGTTCAAAGTACAGATATTCCTGGGACATAGAAATACAATAAATATTATATTTAATTGTAAATTTTTATATGTTACATTTGCGGAATTTTTGGGCTTAAACCTAACGTTCAGAGAAATCAGATTGAGTAAAATAAAGAATCGATCGCTTACTATTAAGAATGACGCGCCGAGGAGCAGGCTTTTCAATCTCACGTCCATCTCCATCGGGAATGTGAGTAGCAGGGTGTACTCGACAGCTAAGTGATCCCACTGATGCATCAGCGATGCGATTTGGCGTGATCCGTCTAACGATATGACCTAAAAAGGGAGAAGTGAATAAAGTATAGAAGTAAAATGTCAGGTGAAATAAATAAAGATAACGAATTAAATTTTAATATAAATCATTCAATATAACAATTTTAATATAATAAATACAAATAATCCTACACATATGTATGATAAATTTGTTTATTACATGTATATACTCAGACATCACAAAGTCTAAAATCGAGAGATAAAACGTCTCTTCAAGACGATTTTTATTTTTAATGCTTCAAAATTATTATTTGATATATATAATATTGAAAATATTATTAAAATATGTTTAAAACATAGCTTAATTTATTTATTATTTATAAACGTATAAAAAATAATAAAAAACAAATTAAAATTCCTGATAGGAATTTTTTGAAATAAATTAAAGTTGTTGAAATAAATTAAAGTTGTTGAAATAAATTAAAGTACCGATCAAATTGATCCGTATTTTACTTCCACGGAAGTAAAAAAATGTCACGCAATTTCTTAAAGGTTAATGTAATACTTCTAACAAATAATTAACAATGAGCATATAAAATTATGAATAAGAATAAAAACGATTGTCAAACGAACGAGGATAGCGACACGATTCGCGCAACAATTCGTAGTATACTTTCGATTCCGTCGCGTTTTACGTTACTTCGCGATAAGCCCCGACCGAATATTTTTTAACGATTAGCGAGCGTCAGCATTATTTTACGCGGACGTGTATTTTATATTTACTTGGAACAGCGCTTCCTTGTACATGCAACAGCCACAAGCCTTGGGCCCGTATATGTTGCAGAGCGGCTCATGGATTTCGTTGTACACGGTGAAGCTCGGCCACAGGCTGAAGTTTCCCTCCACGCTGCCGATGAAATTCGCGCTCTCCACTGTAATTTTCTGTAGAAGCGCGAGAGAACAAAAAAAATGAACAGATTAAGCGGGAAGATGGAAATGTTCGTCACGTTTCCCCGTTTTATTTTAAGATCCGGCACGTGTCTCGATAATCCGGCTGTTTCGCTCGCATTTCGCGCGAGCTTCAGTTTAAATGCACTCTCATACGTTTTAATACGGCTGTGTATACTCCAGGCTAAAAGTCTGAAGACACTTTCCAGAAATTGATATATTTGGGATTACTTACTCAAATGTCCGTAACAATGTGTTTTTTAGTAATAATTCAGATTGAATAATTATTGCAGCAAAATCAAGTTATCGACGTTATAGTTGTCCGTCATATTATTTGCGTTTTCATCGTGGTGTTTTCAAACTTTTGGCTTGGAATGTATATTCTTTTTTTTTTTTACAAAGTTTTTGAATTACCGAAGAAGCGTCAAGGTAACTGAACTGTTTTACGTTGTTCGTAGCAAATAAAACAATTACTATTAAATTGAAATATTCATTTTTTTAGAGCAGATAGAAAATTTCATTTTTTTTTAATGACATTTGATCTAATTGGTAATCTGTTGCTAAATTATTTGTATTACTTTCAAATGTGATTAAAAATAATCTGTAATTTTTTTATTATTTTGAAAATATATGTAATACATCCTTAAAAATTTTGAAATAACTCGCGTAAGCCAGGAGTCACCTTCGCAATTAAATCATACGTAAAATATTATTACGAGAAAGAAGATTCGAGCTGTGACCCACTTGAGACCCGTTGCCAATTAACATTCCGATAAACTTCATCCTGTAATTATGCCGAATCCTTTGCGAATAATTATACAGGAATATCTGTAATCCGTAACGTCTATTTTAGTACGTCCTTTAGCCGCGTTTCGACTTACCTGTCGCGACATGTGCAACAAACTGGGATCCTTCCGGATAATGAATGCGGTTTCGCCACATTGATCCTGCACGTTCAGCACGAATCCTTTATACCAGCCGCACAATCGCGATTCCGTTTCCGACTTGGATTCCGTGGCGAGAAACAGTGCTTCCGCGTGTGGCACTTTCACCCTATATTGAATACCCCTGCCGTCTGTTCTGCCGATTACTGCCGAGAATTTTGCATACAAAATCGCATACGTCTCTTCTATGCAATTATATTATACCTACTACACATTACATCATTTATAATATTGAGAAAAATCTAAAATAGAATTAAATTTTTCCGTAATGTAATAATAATAAATGTGAAACTGTATATTAATTAAGAATTGATTATTCATAACTATTAATTATTATTTATTGATATTACATAAGTATTTAAAATGTCTGTTAAATAAATATGTATCTATTTCTTAATATTAAAAGAAATAATCATATTTATTTAATAGATATTATTTTAAATATTTGTATATACAATATGAATAATGAATATTATTTATTTTAAATATTGTATAAATAGCATCTATCTCTTCTCTATTATTTTCTTCTAGGAAAGCTGGCGCAATACGTACGAGTAGGCAAATCAATAACCTGCTGAATTTCCAACTGCTCGACGCCGTGCAGGAATTGCGTGCCGGAGATCGGGTTCAAATGCGACCTCGCGGGTTGCGAGATCCAGTCTGGAGTGTTGATGGGAATTGGTCTACGGGCGAATCGATTCTCGCTTTCTGCAAATGTTATATGACAATTTGCACGGGCAATCAAAGGTGATAGCGAATCCTGTTGAGTGCCCGGGCACTCATTATCGAACGATCGATTTCATTGCGTTACGTAATCAGTTAAAAACATTGTATAATTAATTAATATTCTTATTATTATTGTGTATATGATTACTTATAATTGTGCATAAATATATATAATTTTTATATAATAAATATATATGTATATTATATTTATAGATATATAAATTTAATAAATTAATTTAATGTATTGAATATTTTATATTTCAAGTTTAATTGCATATCAATTTTATATTAATGTACATATTAATATACAATTTAATATTAATATATATATATATATACATATATTAATATACAATTTAATATTAATATATAATTAATAGTATTAATATATATATTTAACTATTATAATTCCAATTTTCTTACCGCCACGATATTCAAGCAAAGTCTTGGAAACATTTCCATAGAAACGAATGAAAAGTATGCATACATTATGCTGAGAAGCTGCCGTCGAAAATATAACCAGAATAATTGTTTTACACAAATCAATTTAATAACAAACTAATATTTTTCCCCCCAAAAATTAAATTAAGTAAGTTTGCAGCAAAATTGTTTTCGCTTTTGAAACGCTGCACAAACGTGTTACGTAAAAGAAGGATGAAATATTTATACGACGGCGTCCCGCGCGCCGTTCTCTTTGTTCTAAACGGATCCCATTTGACCCCATTCCGCTTTTCAAAAGCGTCACAAAAGTCCCGTAACTCAATTTCCCGTTTTTTTTAAATGCCGATATATTTACGCAACGCAAAAGAGGAAAAGGGACAAATTGCGCTCTTTATTGCGATCACCCCGGCCGTTAAATGTCGTCGTTTTACATTAGCGGGGAAAATAGCTTATTCACCTCCCGGCTGTCCAGGCTGCCTCGTGATGACGGTGGCGTTCGTGTAAATGACCGGCACGTTCTCCTGCAGCTCCATCGTCTGCGTCGCCGCGCTCGCCGTCGCTGGCGGACCCAAAAAAGGAAAAAAAAAAGAGAGAAGGAGTATAATGATGCCGTTCACACGTTCCGATTTATTATATGTTCGCTGAAAAACGCGATCGCGAGCGCATACGCGAAAAAAAAAAAGAAAAAACAAAAAGAAACGTCTTTCTCTCCTATCGGCGATAAAACGCGATATCTTTGTCTGATACCGATAGCTTGCGATGATTGTTGCTCGCCGTTGTTCGCCGACATGTTGAGCTGCTGCGCGTAAGACCGCTCCGCCATCCGCTCAGCCTCGACTTCCGTGTAGCGCATCATAATCGCAGAGCGAAGACCTCGTTTGCTCGTCTCCGTCGAGCGGCGATAAGGAACGATCACGCGGAGAGAGAGAGAGAGAGAGAGAGAAAAGGAGAGGAGAGGAGAGACGAGAGAGGAGAGAGATGCGATATCTTCACCTGCGGCTTGTACACGTCCGCGACACTTTGCTCGGGAAATTCAAGCTCGAATCGAACGCGAACTCGTTTCGCGACGGGGCGGTTTGCGAACCCGCGCTAACCACCGAGGCAAGACTGTCCCTCATCATTTGCACACTCCAATTTCTATATCTGCCTCGCTATCTTGCCCGATAAATTTATCGTTTATCTTGCGCGGATAAGCGATATCGCCGCGTTTAGTTATCGATATTGTCCGTTGACAAAAGCGTCTGACCCGAACGCGAGACGACGAGGACGGCGATGACGAACGCGCGAGAAATGCAGAGAGCCCGTGATTTTTTTCCTACGCCATCTCTCCCTCCTCAGGGAGAGTCGTTTGCAGACGTCGTCTGTGCATACCAGCTATACCTTTCGATTTCGTAATCACACGTTTTATTATATAATAATAATAATTTCGCAGCTAGTTAAGCGTATTATTTACGTAACGTTTGTATTATTCTTCATTCTTCATTTTCTCGGTGATATTATTATCTCACGGTATAATCGCCTCTATGTCATAATAATAATAATAATAATAATTCGTTATTGTTACTGTACTATACAAGCTACAGAGGTATTAGATTAGAATAGGGTACAGCATAACGAAGATAATCAGCACGAGCAAAGGGTGAGACATCTACGAGACTATACTGCTACGAAATCTACCCGAATCAGAGTATAATATAATCATGACGTACAATAATAAGAGTATAATATAATGTAATGATACGATGTGATATAATACATAATATAATGTAATGTAATCGTAATTCAATTAATTCGGTACTGACACGATAATTTATAACGCAATAAAATTATGTGTGCAACAATGTAAATGGATCAGTACGCAGATGACAAAAAATTATAAGTCATTCGATGTCTTCTCTGACACGTGTAAAAAAAAAAAGATACGGATGCCTCGCTCGAGAAAATAACGCGCAGCTTTGCGAGAAAAACGTAGGCGACTTCTGGGAATCGATCATGTAACTATTTTTCCGTAGAGCAAAAACGTGAAAATTGAACCGACGACACACTATTAAAGATACCTTTAATAGTATCTTGTCGATGTTTTCATTCTTCACGGTTCCTCTCTAGAGAAAAAAATAACGTGATCGATTTTGAAGATAATGTAATGCACTTACATGCATGCGTACGTCGCAGGATGTCCAGTAAAAATCGCGGGATGAACCTCACGCGCGAATAAAGGAGTTTCCGCGACGATTGATGGTCGAAGAATTATGCAATGGCTGACGGCGCGCGCATTCCGATGATCGGGCAATTCCGCGACGATGATCAAATACTTCCTGAATGAAATTCCGAAAACGCCTTTCCCCGCTCGCCCTGCGACCTTTCGTGGATCAATTAATGTAAATTAATTAATGAGTCTACGCTCTCTCTCTCTCTTTTTTATTACAATTAATTTTGCAAAATGAGTCGTACCTGTATTTCGCGTTGCGTTTTTATTCCCGAATCTCATGCAATACACAAGTGTCCATTTCGCGAGAATACATGCCGCGCACGTGAGAAAAGGAAGACGCGCGAGAGCGCGTAAGACAAGGTCTCGATTTTCAGTTTATTTCGCGAGACGAACGGCCTCGCGTAAGCGTTAACTCTTAACCGCTTGCAAGGATTTAAAGCGCCGCCGCTCGCGTCGCACAATTTCTCCATGCAGTCTCTCGCTCGGGAGTTCCTCGGGACTCCCGGAGACACTCATCGAGACGGGGGCGTGCCGCCCGCGCTAATTAATCCCCTCGGTATTTATTTTTACGCGTTCAATCGCGATCGTGCGCCGATCAATTTTCCCTCACCTCTAATCGCGATCTCCATCCTCCGCGCGGCTCCCTATTTCAAATTCAGAGGATCTCAAGAGGAAAATAGCACGGATTTGGAGGAGATTCCCGCGCCAAAATACAATAATTCTGCCAAAATCGAATGTAACTCAACGCAAAGCGTGTACGATTACCAAATTGTGCGCTCTTGCGATTTTTCCTCCGGCGGAAGGGGTTTCTCGCGTAAAACGACAATCGATCGTAACATTTCAATGAATATATGCCTGATGGTCCGCGGCCTGGCTCGCGTCGAAGGCGCGGTTCGCGGCTCCTCGAAGGGTCGGAAAACGTTGCCCTCCCGCCTTCCACCCCTCCCGCGGGTCATCCAATTCAGGAAAACTCGCGCGGCGAGCGAGGGGAAGCCGTGAGAAAATTTTCCGGCCCGGTGTGTTTTTCTCTTACCCCGCGTCGACCCCGCCTGCGCGGTCCTTTACTTGTTGCTGCTGCCGCCGATGATGCTGTTGCTGCCGTCGCCGCCACCGCCGGCGGCGACATGCGCGTTTCTATCGATCCACCCTCCGTCGGCCTATATAAAAGCCGCCGCCATTGGCGGTTCTCCAGGTCGTGAGAGAGAGCAGGTCGGGGATTCCATGCACACCCGGGGCACCGTCGTCGACGACGTTACGACGTACTGAGGGAGCGACCAAAAAAAAAAAAGAGAAAAAGAAAAAAAGGAGGGAAAAGAGGGAACACACGCCGTGCTCGCTTAGCCCGTTTATCCCGAGGGGTGTCGTCACGCGGATGAGAGATAAAATCTAATCAGGTACGTTCCGCGCTCCCCGCGCGTCCCCTACCCCCCTGCGCGAGGCATTCCATTACGCCGTTATCCATTAGCCCGTTAATTTGAGCTTCCAATGTCACGTCGATTAGAGTTGGAATCCCACCGTGTCTACGTTGTTGTTTGCCAATTCGACCCGCGACTCGCTCGTCAATCGCGCGCTCCTCGCCCGACTGCGACACGTCCGATTTTCGCGACGCGTGCAACCCAGTTTGCGTTTTTTCCCCCGAGGTTCAAATTATAATTTTAGTGCAAATTATTGAATTCCTTAATTGTGTAAATCTCACCTGTGCGACACACACACACACACACACATACACGTATTTATATAGACCGCGGAATCGTCTCCGTCGGCCGGCCGACTCGTCGCCGCGACTCGCGCCGATTCCGGAACATTCGCGAGCTAGAGATATTTACGAAGTTCGTCGTAACACGTCGACAGCCGTGAGGTCGCCGTTCCGCCGATTGCGAAATTCGTAACGCGGGCGAACACCGCGAACGCGGCACACGAAATTCCGCGAGTCTCCGACGCCTGACTGTCGTGTTGGTACCATCTGGTGAACTCCGGGCCTCGCGCGTCTCCAGCGCGACGCCCGGTTTCATTTTTGCTAACATTCTGAACGATTTCTTCTCTCGTCTTTCCCAAGACGAGAGAAGAAATCGCTCCACGACGAATTCGAGACGAACTCGCCACGCGTTGCGCGATTTACGCAAATGTAATTTGCGAGTAATCTCTTTAGGAAACGTTACTTCACGTCTATTGATCCTCCCCCCGGAGGGAAAGGACGCATCGCTGCGCAATGTAATTTTTGTGCATTTAATTTATGTGCCTGTTTTATTATATACTTTATTACAATATCTTCTCTATTTACTTCATTTTACTTGATCTTATTCGGAATTTTAATTAAAAGATGAGAAAACTTTTTTCTATACTTTACGACTTTCTTCCTTCTATATACCACTTTTTCTTTTATCTATAAATATTACTCTTTGCTTGATTCTTCCCCACTCCCTTCCTTCTTCCTTCACCAGTATAATTTTAAATTCAATGAGTTTTGATATTAAGTTCGAGGAGTTTTTCCATGAATACCGGAGCGGATTCGCGGTGGTCAGCTGCGATGATCTGGTCTTGCCCTGACGTCGCAGATTTCCTCGATACGTCTTCACTCGTGCGAAGGACTTCGTTACCCTATTAACAAAATCGATATTAGCTCGGTACACAGTATGCAAAATAGAGACGTGGTTAATACACCTATATATATTTTTAACGATACAGTGCGCGTCGCTGACGATTAAGGCATCGAGCGCAAAACGGAATCGAGGAGCTTATTTTTTTTTTAGACTCTCAGTATTGGGAAATAAAAATTATAACACGACACCGCTCGAGATTCATTAGGATGATTATTGTAATATTCGGATAGTTTTCGCCAAAGGAAAGAATTAGAAATGCAAATTCTCCTTTCTTATTACCTAATACACTGAGTGTAAGAATACATAAATTAGCTTAATTAATACTTTTTTAAATAACAAAAAGTACTAATTACTGTACACAGAAAAATATGCATTAAAAAATTTGAAAAAATAAACTTGTCGATTGTAGAGAAACACTACTTGATAGTTACAATCAAAATTACAATAGATAAATTTAGGTTTTTTTCTAAATATCCTAATTTTTACATAATCGATATTTTTTACTTAAATATTAACTTCATTTGTGTATAACTCTATTATTGATTACGCAATAATGTTTCTTTTTTCATTAATCGACAAATTTCGAAAAAACATCGAAAAAACATTATTTTGCCAAATCCATAATTTACGCGCAATAAATTTTTTACTTAAATATAACGTTAATCTGTGTATATCTTTTATGCATAAATTATATATGTCGGATAATGAAAAAGAGGAGACAACAATTTTTGTGTCCTCAATTTTTTTACGCGCAACTATGTACGTTTGTCTGCCGATTAGCTCGCGCACAATGGCATCGCCACGGTGGATGCTGCCGCTGCTGATCCTGGGAACCGGCGCGATCACGCTGGTCTCCGCGGCTCGGCAGTACCACGACGAGCTCCTGAAGGGCAACAACGTCGTGCGGAAGCGATCTTTGAACGCGATGGATTCGCCGGAGTACTACAACGACCTGCACTCGTTTAAATACCACGGCGGCGACGCCGATCGCAAGTTCGACCGCGACTTCGACGAGGACGACGAGGAGATCGAGTTCCTACCTAGCGGTAAGGAACTTTCCCGAGATGAAAAATTTCTCTTTTTTCCGACTCCGAGAAGCAGAAGAATAAACTTTCGGTGTATCGTACTTACTTATGAATTTCGTATCAGAGCGTTGTATTATATCATACATATGACATAAATACAATAATTGGCTGCAATTGACAATATAATGATGCAATGCGATACGATACGACACAAAAGTCTAATGTTATGTATTTAATACGATACGATACGATACGATTCGATACAATGATCCAATAATCTGTATGTCATCTTATTGGACTTTTGTATCGTATCGTATCGCATTGAGTCTCCGTATTGTTTCAATTGCCAATTATTTTCATCGTGCTTGCAGACAATGGCCAGCTGGAAACGGTGGGGGAGGGTCTCCAGGGCATGAACAATAAGCTACTTGAAAAGGCACTGCTCGATTATCTGGAGACTCTACCTGAGCAGGTAAATTTGTCACTTACAATGCAGAAGATAGACGGCAATAAAGATAATCCCTTTTTAATTCAGAGAGATTAATTTCTAAGATTAAATCTCAATTTGATTTTTAATTTTACTTAACTTGATCAGCGCAGAAAATATTTCGGTTGCTCTTGCAACAGCACGGAAAACCACATGAACGGGAAAAGCCAAAGATTAGATAGCACATGCTATATTTTCTTCATATAAATGCTTATAATTCTTAATTATATATTTATATCAAATTAATAATGAATAATAAATTGTATAATTATAAATTTATATATAGACAGATACCTAATATTTATTAATTAAATTATATTATTATATTAAATTTTATTAATTAAATTATATTATTATATTAAATAATATAAATGTAATAGTTTTTGTCTAAAATTCGTAATAAAATTCATTTTTTAAAAGAAGCAAAAAAAATGATCGAAAGACTTCTTCTGATAAAGAGAGAGAACTTCATTTTACTGACTGTATAATGTGTCTCTTCTAACATAAAAGTCGAAAGCACTTCTTAAACAAATTGGACGAGCCCCTGATTCTCTGATGAACGACTTCGAGCGTCTCGATGATAATAATTACTTACAGGAAGAGCCGGTGGCCTCGATTTTCCGCGAGCGCGAGCGAAGCGGCAGCCGTAAGCGCGGCGGCGCCGGCGAACGGTTAGGCCTGGACGACAAGGATCTGACGAAGCTGTTCGTGGAGGAAGAACTGCAGGACAGTTCTCCGTACGGTCCTCCGCTCGTCGAGGTGGAAGACGACGACAACTATATAACCGCTTTACAATCGATTTACGAAAGAAACAGAGCTGGTAGAGGGAACAAAGTATACGAGTGAGTTCGACGGCCGGATTCCTTTGACCCGTTAGAAGTCAGAATTATAATGTAAAGAGAGAGAGAGAGCAAACTTTAGAACTTTTATCAATTTGTGAACATAATTTAACAATATGATCTTTGGATAAACTGATTTAATCCCGGTTATTGGATTTTTAACGGATTAAGTTTAAAGCGAGATTATATTTATAACACTCTAAATATCTTTTTTTATGTAAGGTATATATATATAAAATAATTTTCGTTCTGAAAATGGAGGACAATCGAAAAGGGGACTAAAGGATATTTTTATTCGACAGAACGGCAGGACCAATGTCTTGGGGCGAGCTGCTTAGCAAGGGCCCGTTGCTGAGGAGCCAGTCGAAGGACGGCAACGACGAGTTCGCGGGCCGTGAACTCGATTTGCAGGAAGAGGGCATCCTGTACATTCCGCTGGAACGTAGGAACGTGAACGGCCGATTTCCCATCGGCCGCGAGTTCGGCAGCTATCGCAAGCTGACCAAGCGCTATCCGGTCGCTAAGAGAAGCCCCAGGCCGACCCAAACCAGATTAAAGACCACGGATCCCAAGGTAAAGACCGCGGATCCCACGCGGCAAACGACAGGACAACGCCGGCCGTGTCCCTGCAGTTTGAAGATAACGGGATAATTGCTCTTTCTCTTTTTTTTTCTCTTTCTTCCTGTCATCTGCTTTGTCAATCGTATTGATTTCGTGCGCGCTCGAAATTATAAAAAATGAAATTATGAAATTACGAAAGAATATGTCGAACGCGTCGACACGTGTGTAGCGACGCGTCATGTGTGACGTACATTCGTTCGTTTCAAGGTTGCTCAAGACCTGGGAGCCCTATTCGGCACGCAATTCACGGACTCGCACAATCACACTCATAAATCGGATCACGAGCACGAGCACGATCACGATCACGAGCGCAAGCAGGAGGCCGATCAGAGTCACGATCACGAGCACAAGCACGAGTCCAATCAGACGCACGATCAGCACGGCGGTCACGAGGGCAAGTCGGAGGCGCCGCCGCTGAAGGTGACGCCGTCCCCGAAGGGCCAGAAGGAGAACGCCACGAAGACGGCCAAGTCGAAGTTCGTCCAGGTGAGGAAGAAGAGCGTCGACTGGTCGCAGTACTTCGGCATCGATCGCAGGAGGAAGAAGGCCACCTTCACGGCCGGGCAGGGCACGCAGAATCAGGACGACGAGTGGATGCTGCAGCGCTACTACGAGGTACATACGTCGATCACTGTCGTGATCGTTGAAATTTTCTTTTTCCTTTTTTTTTTGTCGAGTGCATCTCGAAAAACATATATTTATTATTTTAATTAAGATATCTATTATTTATATTAATAATAACAGTTTGATTTCATACGCGGAGTAAGCAATAGGGCCTTTGTTAACAGAACATGGCCGAAAATTTGAAGGACGACGAGAATGAGCGGAAGGATAAACTCGAGCAGATGGACACGAAATTGAAATATATCAAGGACTTGATTGTCGAGGAAGCTATGAGGTATGCCGCTTCGGAGGATGAAGCAGATTTGCAACAGGTGATTTTTCTACTGGCATTTCCGCACATAGAATATATACAATTTTCATTCGAGAGAATTATGAATAAAAAGAAATTTCAATAATGTACAAATAAGTTTCAGAAAATATAATTTTGTCAAACTAGTTTTGAATTCTATTTCATGATTAAAATAATACATTTAAAAGATAAAACACGGTTGGATTGATTATGTATAAAGTTTGAGTAAAGAGAATACGTAGAAAAAATACAAATAAGATAAGCATAAATAATAATAGGAATCATTAAAGAAATAAAATCTAAAATCGTGAAAATGTTCGACAGGTGAAGGATAAGTTAATGTCGCGATTGGCAGCGGCTTACTCGTTACAGAAGATGCGAAAAGCGTTGAACGAGCTACGCAACAACGCCATGGCTCAGAAGGAGGCGCAGAAGGCGCAGAAGGAGGCACATCATAATTTTACGTCTAATTTTCGCGAAAACAGCAACGGCAACGCTAATCCGAGCACTAACAGCGATAATAAAAACGATGAGAAACGAAACGGCATCAATAACAATCTAGAGGAAAGCGAGTGTGAGTATTATATTTGAAAGAGAAATTCGAAATCACGGAGAAGATTACATGAATTATGCGGAATATCCCAAAATTCGCGAGTCAGCATTTACTGAATTTTTTCGTAATGAAAACGCATTTTTAAATTATTAATTTTCTAATTAAAAAAAAACTAACTTTTGTGTAACTTCCGAAGAAGCTTTTTAATTGCTTTTAGATAAAACATTATTGATCTCTCATTTTTGTTAAGGAAAAATTAATCCCAGAGAATTTGCAAAGAAGAAATGGCTCGATAAAGCTGGGATAATCCTACAAATCTAATGAATCAAGCTAAAATAGCAAAAAATAGTTAATGCAGATTATATAACACAGTCGTTTGAATTGTACAGCCATCGAGGAGCCTAGAAGCTGCCCGGAATTAGAAGCCATCGAGTGGCGATGCCGAACCGTGGATAATCTGGCCGGCGACACGTCTCGAGTGCTCTACGTGCCCTGTGTAAAACTGCAGATCTGCAAAGCTTGCGTACGTTACACCAGACTCCCATCTTTATGTCGAAAGAAATTTTTGATAATCCAGAGATTAAGGATTGAATTTGTTTAACGCCGCGTATGGAAATATATGCAAAAACGTCCTCTACATCCCAAAAATGTTTTTCAAATACGATAAGGAAAATATCAAAATTCTCCCCGTCAATCTTCTTAATGTCAAAATTTTCAAAATTTCATTTTAATCTTTCGCACGAAAGATTAAATTACATTCCAGCAATATCTCGAGTATTAATTCGAAGTATTAAACATATTCTCAATACATGTAACGCGTCCCACAACCCTCCATTAAAACTATAGAGAGCCTGAAGCCCAGGAAAAGAGTGGCAAACTGGTCATGTGACGATCTCCTCTGATTGGTCCCAGGCACCAAATTCATGAAGCCAATGGACCCAATCAAAGGAGACCAGTTTGCCACTCTCTTCCTACGAGACTCTCTAATTAAGACAAAGTGTCCTATGATTTTAAATTAGCTCAATATTTCATTTGTAATCCTTAATTCTCTGCATTATTCCTCCGAGGAGACTACAGCGAATCACTTTGTACCTGCAGGCGCAGGACGAGGAGGGGCTGCTACCCTGCCTCGCCAACTACGCTATAGAGGCCGGCAAGGAGTGCGACGTGCTGGAGCAGTCCAGGGAGCGGATGCAGTCGCGGATGGCGGCGGCGACGGCGGTGCACGAGGGCGAGAGGCAGTCGTGCTCGAACGCCGCGCTGCTGCTGTCGCAGCTGCAGCCGCCCGCGTCGGCGACCGCGCAGTGCCGCGCGGCGCCGCGGAACGCCCGCGACGCGTCGTGCCTGCGGCGGTATTACGCGCGATACGAGCACCGGCACTTCCGCACGTCGCCGGCGTACGAGAGCACCGGCGGCGGGCGTCGCTACCACCACGAGGGCGCCCTCGACACGCTGCAGCAGACCATGTCCGAACGATAAGGATCCCAGCCGAGCGAGAGGAAGCTCCCATCCCCTTCCTCCCCTGGCCCCCTCTTCCCTCCTTCCCGGCCGCGCGATACCGCGAGTGGACCGCCAGTTATCCGGATTGTCGCCCGAGTACAAACTACAAAGTCCTTCCGACGGAATGCGAACGGAGATTTTTAATTTGTGCCGAAACCGCGTGGCTGTCGCTTACACTCGTTATTATTTTGTTTTACACCCTTGGCCTACCGTTTTCTCTCTTTTTATTTTATTTTATCTTATCTGGAAGTTTCGTCCGGATAATCGGCGGTTTACTGTATTAAAGAATCTTCCGTCGTAATGAAGCATGGATCCGCGAGATTAATCCTCCACTGAGCACCGCACGTCTCCTTAAGCGCTTCTGCTACAAAGAGTCTTTAAAAAAAAAGTTTGTGAGTGGTTTTAATCATAGCGAGATCCTGCCTGTGGTACCAGTTGAGGATTAATCGGGCTGGCGCACGGAGAGATTCGCTCCCGAATCGAAGTAAAACGGATGACAGTGACCACATTAATTTTTCCAGAACCCCGGGAAAGAAAATAGATCACGCAGAAACAAAGAAATGGTAACTTTGCAAAAAAAAAAGTGAAATTGCCGCGTTCGTCCGTTTCCTTTCGATTCGGAATCAGATCTCGAAAGTACTCGATGGTACTCGACTCGATCACAGCACTTTTTGCACACGACGCTTCTTCGCGTAATAAATTCCTCGTCAGAGCGCGATTTTAAAATCTTGAATTGAAGAAAAAATTATTATTAAAAAAAGAAGACGGTGCAGTCCAATCAGCGAAATTAGCGCGTTTCGTCTGTGAACGGAAAGACAAAGCTTGCGATGATCTCTGGATTTAAAGGGAGAATAGGTAACGCCTCTAGTTAAGGGAATAAGATGTTCTATCTATTTGCGAGGTGGGTGCTTTTCGTCTGGACGGCTTTCCAAAACACACACAAACGTCCTCTCTTTCTGTCCTTTCATATCGAACTGAACAACGATTAAACGCGAGTTACAGAGACAATAATAATGCTATTCCCCCCCCCCCCTCCCACCGAAGACAGAGATTTAATTATGCGCACGGCGACTCGTATAAACGAAAAAAATCGCGAACCTTGCGTACGTTCGCCACCGGGATCGCAAAATTCCGTCGAACGAGAGTTTGGACGAACGCCTCGCAAATGAAAGGCCGAAAGGACGATGATCCAGTGACGTAAAAAAAAAAAATATGTGTGTAAGTTATTGTGTTAAGTATCCTTAAAAAGAAAAAAAAATAAAGAATATTGCCGCGAGCGCATGTGTGTCTCACCCTCTATATCAATTCTCTTCGCGCTCGCGCCAATCGCAAAAAAACTACATATTAGCGCGATTATTCGTGTTTAATTTCTCGCACGCAGTAGTTACACGCGGAATCGCCAATTTAATCGCGTTTCTCCGCCCGGGAGACGAGGTGAGAGAAAGAAGATATAAAGATAGAGTGAAAAAGAGAGAGAGAGAGAGAAAAAGGAAAAGGATACTTGACGCAGCTTCCAAAGAGTCTATCTTCGCAAATCTGTATCTATTATTACTGTCTATTATATATTCAGATGTTTAAGTTACACGGCGTTATATCGCATGTCGATGTGTCAGTCGATGTGTCAGTCCTATATTCTCGAAATGTAATAAATATATTTCAACATAAACGCGCCGTTTCGCGGCTCGACATCTCATCTCAACGCGCACCTTGCCATATGATCTACTATCCCAGACGGCAGTAACTCAGACAACGTTTTTTAGATGTCTTCAGTATATTTTTATGTCTTGATTTTAGATATAAAATTGTGTTGTCTGATAGGAAACAAGGTGTATCTTAAATAGTGTTTACTAATTGTAGAGCGTTATTCCTTGTAAAAAACCGAGTCGAAAAGCATTTTTTGAAAAACATGTCGAAAACCATTTTTTCCACAATAAAGCAATCACTACTGCACTAATTACAACTTCACTGAATTGTAAAAAAAAAAAAAAATAGTTTACAACTTTTTGACTCAATTGTTTAAATAAGAAATAGCGTTACATGATTATAGTGAGCGCTATTTAAAAACAATTTTGTTCTACAATGCTCAATGAAGTAATTAAATTACGCAATAAATTAAATTATAAATCAAATTAAATTAATTACTGCAGTAGTAATGATCGCATGTATCGTTGATTGTAGATAGAAAAAAATTCAGGACTTTTTGATTGAATTTTTCCACAAGTAATAACACTATATAATTAATAGGCGCTTTTTAACATGCACTCTGCATACCTGGTCGTTGCACGATTCGATAGCGTCGCCATTACGGTCGAAGGAACGGCCGTCGGCTGGCGCGGAAACGTCCCGCAACATTTCCAATATCCCCAAACATCGCGGCTTGTAGAGCTTTAGTAGTTCCAACTGCAGCCTCCCGCAGTCAACTGCAACAGGTCCGACGATCGTTCATCCTTAATATCGATATATTACTCTTGATTTAGTTTGCAAAATTCTCGGAGATCTTCGAGCACTCACTACGCAGCCTCGACACCTGTTCGAGTCTGATCTTCAACTCCATCTGCGCTTCGTTGATCTGGCGGATCGTCTCCTCCTGAGAACCTTTCAACATGACGGCCGGATTAAGTTGACCGATCCTGATCGAGATCCGCAATTCGTTCGCTGTGACGCAGATAATGCGAAAGGAAGTAGAGCCCGAGGGAAACAGCTACGGCTCTCGCGAGACGTGTGCAGTTAACTTATGCCGCCAACAGTACCGCCAACGCGAGAACGCTAACGCTTTCGAGTCACTGAGCGGCACGTGAGTCACGCGACCCGAGTCGCACTGTCGCGGCGGCTGCCTTTGCCGCGTTTGAAAGCTTGGCAAAATTTTCAGATCAAATTAGACAATTTATTTTTGTTTCCACCGCGACAGTCGGTTTTAATAAATTATTTACGTTTATTAGAAAGTAATTAATCCATTTATTTGCAATTTGCCGGAAAATCCTTTCGAAAATCATGCATCCCCCGCGAAACTTTGACCTTTGCACGAGCAAAGAGGAAAGAGATAAAGAATATGTTCGTATAATTAAGATTGTATATCTAATTATATTCGTATTGTATCTTAAAAATATTTAAACACAATCTTAAATATAAAATCTTGAGGTACTATATGTTCGCTTTTATTGGACGGAATCCCATAAGATCACTTAAGATCACGCGTAAAGTGAACTTAATCAAGATCGGACTACGACCGCGTCCAAGGCACGAGGACACGACCGCGTCCAAGGCACGAGGACACGACCGCGATTATTTCGAGGTCACGATTACAATTCGACCGCGAGCGAGAGGGCTTTATAGCTGCGTCGCAATCGATCATCGTCGCGGTTCAAGATTCGACGTCTCATCGTTGACCAAGGTCCCGCGCTTGTCAGTCGCTCACTTCACGTCACTCACGTGACAGGGGCGGAAATTGACGCGGGTCAATTCAATTCCTCGGCGCCGCCGCCGCCGCCGCCGCCGCCGCCGTCGTCGTCATCCTCCGGGCCTGCGCGCGGACGCGAGGCGGCGCGACGCGACGCGCGTGGCACACACGCGTTACGAAACGGCGCGTCGCGGTTGCGTCACGGCGCGTCACGGCGCGCCGCGTCGTCGGAGTGCCGCGACGATTGGGTCTCTCGGTAGTTATCGCGCGTTATTAAAGTCCACGCGAGTAGGCAGTAGTAGGGATCGAGGGTAGGGTCCGGCGCGGGCGATGCGAGATCGCAGCGGCACTCGGACGGTCGCCGTCGATCGCAGGAAGTCGTCGTCAGCCGTACGTATACCCGAGGCCTCCCATGGTGGCGATCACCACGTGTCGCGCCGCCGCCGCCGCCGCGACCGTCCTCAGGGCCGTCATACTGGGCGCGCCGGCGTCCGGCAAGGGCACCGTCTCCTCCAGGATCGTCCAGCAGTTCGGGGTCGCGCACATCTCCAGCGGCGACAGGCTGCGCTTCCACGTGTCCGCCGGCACTGGTACGTCGTCGTCGTCGCCGGCGTCCGCCGTTGTCGTCGCCAGCGGCGGTCTCTTGCCTTGAACACCCTTTTGAATACTTAAGCATCCGAGGTCTTCACTTTCAATCTCCTCATCGCTTTCCGTCCCATCATTTAATTGATACGTGATGACACTGATAACAATAAACGAGATATAATGAATGTTCAACATTTCGAAGACGCATGTTACTTTGTCGGTTGCGAATTTCAGTTATTTTTCATTTTGCCACTAATGGGAATTTTATCGTTAGCCTCGTTCCCATTGTCAGTGTTAATTTCGATAACACGTTCGCGGATAATCGATTTCGTAAACATAAAACATATATATGAAATTTTGTTTTCATTGTTCGCTCGCGCCGTTATATAATCTGAAAGCTTTCGATTCGTTATCAATCAGCTAAGTGTGAAAACATGTCAGAATTGTTGTCATCATTTCGATAAAATGAATTCCCCGAGTTTAATCTTATCTTTGATATCGTATCGCGTATTCGAAAAGATTCTAATTCCGTGTTTATTGCGATAACGCGTTTAAATTATAGTTTCGACGAAATTATCCGTTTTCGATCACATTTTTCCTGTCTTATTAATATTAATAAACTATAATGCATTCAAAATATTAAAAAATATATCTACGCATATAAAATTATATTTTATATAAATATATAATGTATTATATAATTTATAATAAACTATAAATCATATATATAATAAAATACGATATTATATATATTTTAAAAATATGTATGTTAATGTATATAGTTTATTATATATTATACAGGGTGTTTCCAGATTAAATCGCCAATTTTAAAATGTGAATTTAAAGCCTCAAAATAAAGTTTACTTGTAAATACTTCAAGAGCTATTGATTTCTTAAGTTACAGAACTATAGAAATGAATGTCGAAATAATCTAGGTTCATCCTATTGCAATGTAAAACAAAAATATAATGTTATTGAATATATTGTTCAAAATGAGAGTCCTGAAATAAACATTGTATCTATCGAGGAAAGAACGAATGACTGACATTGTGCATAATTCCTTCGCACACTTGCATTGTCCTCTGTTTTAATGACTGGGATCAATCAATTAATTTATCAATTAATTAAATATTTCGACATAATTCATTCCTATAGTTCTGTAACTTAAGAAGTCAATATTTCTTTGACTTAGCGTTTGCGAACAAACTTCCAGAGGAAAATTTTGAGATCCTAAATTCATATTCTAAGTTGGCAATTTAACTCGGAAACACCTTATGATAGCACATTATATATAATATACGCATATTATTATATCAATTTAATATTTAATCAGGCAATTTTGACGACACGTGTTATATATACAGAATTTTATGATATAATTTGAATAAATTCTAGAAAATTTTTATAAAATTAAATTTCCGCGTTTGTTTCTACCCTTCATTCTCAAGATGCTTGAGTAAATTTGTCGGGCTGTTAATTTTAGAAACACCCTCGAGAGAAACGCGATACCTCGGCACAACAAAATTTTCGTGATTACATACAGTATAATTCAACAAAAGCTCGAGAAGACACGTGCCACTCCCTTGGCGAAGCGTCCTCAGACAAACGTTCTCGTTCTTCGCAGTTCTGGGCAAGGAGGTGAAGAGGTACATGAACAGCGGTAGCTTCGTGCCGGACGACACGATGATATCCCTTATCGGCGACGAGATTGGATCGGTGGCGGATCGGGATTGGCTGCTGGACGGTGAGTGGATGTAGGAAATGATTCTGACCTCCGCGGGTCGCGCGGCCAAGGTCGCCGACGCGCCGGTCTCTTGAAAAGCCCGTGAACCCGCGCGGTCGTCGCCGTGCGTTCTAAACGCGAGCGAATATCTTGGCAGGATTCCCGAGGACGTTGGCGCAGGCGAAGCGGCTGCAGGAGCTGCACCCGGTCAATCTCGTGCTGAATCTCGTGGTGCCGACCGCCGTGATTCTCGACCGCGTCAAGAGCCGATGGGTCCATCTGCCCAGCGGTAGGGTCTACAACATCGGCTTCAACGATCCACGAGTGCCGGTAATCAACAAATGTATATCTATTTCATTGGAGGGGAAAAAAAAAAAAAAAAAAAAAAAACACCGGCACCGAGAGTACACAACTGTGTCTATACATTAACCGTTAATCTATCTGTTAATTGATTACAATACGCGATAGAATTTATTCTACAGTATTTTAATTCAATATAATTATAAAATACCGTATTTTATATCCTGATTGCAATAAAATCGGAATTCGGCCATTCGGAAGTTAAATGCAGAGCATTTTGTCTCGTTTTGTAGAATAAGGACGATGTGACGGGCGAGCCGTTGTGCCAGCGGGAGGACGACAAGCCGGAAGTCGTGCAGAAGAGGCTGCTGGACTACGTGACGAAGACCGCGCCGGTGGTGCAGTTTTATCGCGAGATCGGCGTGCTGAGGGAGTTCCACGGCAACACCACCAACGAGATGTGGCCGTCGATCAGGAATTGCGTGGAGCAATACTGCTGAGCTCTAGAGAATTCGAATTTTTAGATAAATCTGTTTAAAATATGCGCGCCGGGACGGTCGCGCAGATCTCTCTGAACCCCTGAAATAGATCTACCCAGATCTGTTTAGATTTATATTTTAGATCTCTCTAAAAGATCTTCGGAAACATTTAATCTACATCTGATTCTGTCTGCCTAAGAATTAAATTAGATTAAGGTCGCGCAGGTCTCTTTGAACCTCTGAATCCCTGAAATAGGTCTATCCAGATCTGTTTAGATTTATATTTTAGATCTCTCTAAAAGATCTTCAGAGACATTTAATCTACATCTAATTCTGTCTGCCTAAGAATTAAATTAAATTAGATTAAGTAGGGAATCACAGATTAGATTAGACAAAATCCCATGCTCGCGCCTAAGAATATGCGAATGTTATTTTAACAACGAATGAAAACGCACGGAAATCTACTAAGGCCTATTTGAGACCTGTAATTCACCTCGTCTCACGCGATCTCGAGTAATAATAGATGGGGAATACACGCTCTCCGGCAACAATTGTTTTTTTGTCTCGTCGACAACGACGAGATGGTGCGCGCATACTGTGACGCAATCCGCGCTCTTATTCTCTATCTCTCTCACACTCATATGCCCGAGCGCACACGAGCGCGAATGCCATTAGGCTGTAAATACGCGACGTCGCTGCCGACAATAATAGGCCTCTCGTATGAGATGTTTCCGACGCGGAACGCCTAGGTGATACAACGAGACTTCACGGTGGCTGAAAGGCACCGACAGTGAAGCCGAGCGCGAGTTATCTTTTGTTATCTTTTGCGCCTCGCACGACGAGCTGCCGGCTCTGCCGTCACTGCCGCCTGGGCCGAAGTCCGAATAGTACAAAAGTGGGAATTATCGTACGAATCGACGATACATTCTGAGATGACGTAATCGTATTATTACACACTTCTTCGCATTTTATTACTTCGAGCGTATAGCGTTACAGTTGTAAGAGAGATATATAACAACGTTCAATATTGTGTACATATTCAACAGTATAAGTACAGTATATATACGCATATATACATATGCATATATACATACGCACACGTGCATATGCAGCGCGGGGCATCTAAACGGGTGTACAGCCAAATGATTCTTTAACAATTAAATTCTCTCTTCGCCTTTTCCTCTTTACTTTTCTATTTTTTCTAACTACGTTAAGTTATACCTTTAGTTAGGAGAGTACCCTAGGCTTATTTGTCATCGGTCATCAAGCATCTTATATATGCGTTATCACGTTTCTTAGAGCGCCTCCGCTTTTCAGAGCGCTCGAGTAATCTTGAGAAGCGCGAAATGAGAGAGAATTCTTCACTTCTACTCTATTCTCTATTCTACTCTATTTTAATGCAAACGTTTCCGCTGCCCTTGAAAATATCGTTAAAGACGAAGTAATGTAACTCGTGGGAATATAACGGGAAGAGGGAAGACTTGTTGTAAAGTCATACACAGTTTTTGAGATTTCGAACATTTTAACGAAATCTTTTTCTTTTTAAAGGAGAGATGGATAGTTCTTATGGATATCATTTTCTTTATTTATATATCTATAAATATAGATACAGATATCAAATGTTTTCTAAATAAATATTTGGGCGTACACTATTAGATGCCTCACCCTGTATATACCATGTTCACGTTCCTCAAATTCCTCGTTTTTTTTTTCTATTCCTTTTCCAAGGCAGAAGAGTTACCCTCAGGAATAACTCAATTATAAATAAATAAATAAATATATAAATTAACGCCTTATTATATACTTTCCTTTAAATGAATCAGACTTGAGAACTCTTGTCGCGCTTTTATTCGCGCGCGCGCGCATTTTCGCTTTACAACGCGTTTTAGAGAGAAAGTTTCGCAAAGTACAATTTTTTTTTTAAGTTTCGATTCAACAACTCAACGGAACGTAACGCGCGTCGTAAAATTATCTTCAAGACAAAAGTCTCGTTGTAATATGCGAAATAAATATATGTATTCGCTTGTAACACATTGCAATACTAAGTCATATTAAATTATTATATCAAAGTTAATTACTATCAACAATCAATATATAAAGCCATCAACGAATTTCGGGATTGCACACAACAAGGATAAGAAAAAGTTGTGCAGCCTCATAATAATTGCATACATATATATATTACATATGTATATTAAATAATCGAAAAGACGAATGAATCAGCTTAAACCGAACAACTTGTACTAATCGTCGGGAATAATCTTGCTCTCTTATCTCCTATCTCAGTAAGTAATAGTAACTGGTCATACCGAGTCAGCTCCTGTCTTCGTGCACGCATTTTTGAGATCGAACCGGAACGCGCTGACTCCACACGCCTCGACACTGAGCACACGCCTCTCGTCCTTTCCCAGGCCATATCATCCGGCCGGCCGTGCCTTCTTACACGCACCGGAAGGAGATACGCGAAAAAAAAGTCTACCGCCGACGAGGTGGTCGGGCGATCGGACAGAGACGTCGAGATGTCCTCGCGAGAGTGCGTCTGAAGATGCACTCGAGATGAATCGTGGAATCATACCGCCCCGCGTCGTCCTCTTCTTTCTGCCCTTTTCTTCCGCTCCTCTGTCTCAACGCAGCAACTCGAACTCCTCGCACTCGTAGAGATCGTCCTCCGCGCCCTCGTGACCAGCGAACTGGCCTGCCGACGGCAGAAGACCCTCGACGACCTCGATTCCCTGCTGCAGATCCTTGCCGCTTCCCTCGCAGAACAGGAACATCGGGTAGTCTATGTTCTGATTCGGTATCACGAACTGCAACGTTAACGAAATGTGTCTTAATTTCGCCTAATACGAAATAAAGTTACATTTTTTTATTTCTTTTTTTTTCTACGCATACCTCGCGTCTACATTTGATTCCGTTTGGCTTACTTTTCATCTCTAACGCGCAAAAACTTGCAAGTTACGAAGTGTAAATCGACGTCTTTCATTGTTTGTTTAATCTGTTATATAATTAGTTGAATTCGAATTAAAAACGTGTTAAAATTAAAAGTGTGTGCACATTTACTCGCTGAATTGTTTCCATAAAGTCGGTGAGTCGACGAAATAAAGTTTTATTTTATTTTTTCTTTTTCTACGCATATTTTGTGCCTACATTTGATTCCATTTGGCTTACTTTTCATCTTTAACACGCAAAAGCTTGCAAGTTACGAAGCGTGAATCGATGTTTTTCTTCGTTTGTTTTTTTAAAATCTGTTATACAATTAGTTTAAGGTGGTTTTATCGCTCAACGCCAACTCGATAGTGTCACGTTGTCACATAAACGTTACAATCGCATACGTACAGTCTATGCAAAATGTTTTTATTGAACTACGCTTGTTTTTATTAAATTATTAGTCATATGGCATCTAATAACTTTTGACTGGGACTTGCTCGATAAAACCACCTTAACTCGAATTGAAACGTGCTCAAATTAAAAGTGTGTGCACATTTACCCGCTGAATTGTCTCCATAAAGTCGGTGAGCGACTCCTTGTCGGGAAAGTAGAAGCCTACGCAACAACTGGGATCCATCTTCGAGAGCAACATCTTTCTCGGGGACGTGCAGTGGAAGCTTGTCAACGGGAATTTTTCATTTCCTTCGACGTCAACGGTTTCCTGCGCAAGTGGAGTCGGTGAAGAAATGAGCCAGAGGGTAATTATATTTAATTATATTCTAAGATAAAATTTATTCTGAGATAGCGAAATACGGAAAAGAAAAACACCAACGAAAAAAACAAAACGCTACATAAAAAATTGAGAAATAAAAATAAAACATCGTAAATTAGGAATAAAGTAGAAAAAAAAAATAAAATATAAAATAAAAATTGAGAGATTCGTACACGCAAATTAAATTTAAATATTAAAGCAATGTTTGCTTTCTAAAAAGAAAAAAAAAAAAAAAAAAACGTTACCTGACAGTAATGCGGATCCAAGTGGATCAGTTTGTCGTCCTGATAGCCGATGAAGTAGAGCGAGTGTCGCGGTCGGCCACCGATCACGCCGATACACGTGTCCAACGTCAACAGCGATGTCAAGCAGGGCGCGTAAACGGGATTCAGCTTGTCGGCGCCGAGTCTCAGGGGTACCAAGAGTATCAGCGCCTTTCTTCTACCATCCGGAGTGCAACACACATTCTCGACATCTTGCATGTATACTGAAAACAAAAAAAATGATTGTTCGACAATTGTTAATTCACGCATAATATAACGAACGCGGAATTTCCATTAAATCTCTGCGAAAGATTTAATAAAAATCCTCTGTTCTTCTATGAAAAAAATTACCAACATACTTTTGTATAATATAATTTCTGAAACATTATTTTATATTATTCTGCAGAAAGAGAATTTTTTATTATTCAATTTTCAAAGACTATTTGTATAATTAAATATTTCCTAGAGGATACCTTTGATATAATAAAGCACATTAAAGGCTCATATATCGCATGTTTTTCCAGTTTCAGTAATTGAATTGTCCTTTTGTGTCGCGGTGCCGTATATTCATCAATACCAACCTGCACAATCTTGGGCGACGTATACCGCCAGCTGATTGAGCTTACTGTTGGGATCCTCGCTGGCGCGTTCCATTGCTTGACAGAGGAGATGCGCGACCGAGGAGGGACCGTACCAGTCGCCCGCGCGTTTCCCCGTCGAAGCGCCGAGCGCCACAAGCTTGTGTATGGAGAACGGTGACTCCGGCGTTGGCTGATCGCCAAACCATTTGATGATCATCCGATGACTGCTTTCGTCAGTCGACTGTTCCGGCCGCCATCTCCACTCTGCGTAAAATAAAAAAGTAGATTTATTATTCAGTGCTACACACGACGCAACAGGAGTCTCAGATTCGTGCGAAAGATTCACTGTGTATCCGTCAAATAAAGTCGAAAAATTACAGTTTCAAATTTATGAGTATTAAGAACAATAATTTAAATATTTTTTACTTTAGCTTTCTAATTTTACTTCAATTTAAACTATTTATTATTCAAATTTTGCAAATTTGAATTTATACCTACGTGTTTTTTTTTAAATCTAGAAACAAGTTTCCATTTTCTTGCTTTCAAAAAAAGATAAACCAGTCACTTTGTTTAAGATTGTCACGAAATTAATAGAGAATCAACGAATCTCTTTTCAGCATCAACAAAATGATTTCGAAAGGGAGAAACAAATTACCGCGTCCGAGGAAATGGCAGACTAATGCCTGCGCCAGCATCATCTGCCCGCTGCGCAGCATGCAGCCCCAACCGCAGTCCGTGGTAAAGGTGGAGCCATTCAGGATCGGGAATTCTCGTCTGTATGTTAACCAGAGACGCGACACGAAATCCCTCTTGAATTCCTCTATGGTATTCTCGAAATTCGTGGCATCCATCGCCAGGGAGACCTGACTCCCCGTTCCAACTGGCTCCAGCGCCTCCGACGCCCTCTCCAATGGATACTCCGACTTCTTCAGATAACACTGGCCCAGCAGCCACACGGGAGATTCCTTGGAGAAGTTCGTCTTCATCTTCACGGTCCAGCCTTTCGTCAAGAACGAAAATATAATTCAAAAATTGTATTTTTTTCGTAATACTTTTTATGTTACATATATAACACAAATTCGCCAAATATGTTACTGATAATAATTATGATAGAGGTGTGATATTTTAGAACGTACAGTCGAAATATAAAAAGACTTTTTCTGAACGTGAAACCTCTTGCTTAGAAATTGTCCGATGTACGTACCGTATTTAACGTTGTTCCACATAGAGAGCAATTTCGTCTTGACTTTGCTGTCGACCTCCGTCGCGGCCATGCTGTCGTCTAACTCGGCGTCCGAGTTGAATGACTGAATGGTAGGGACACGGTCCGTGGCGATCATCCCGGAAAATATTCCAAGATTCATGGGACCGAAACCACCTGCAAAGATATCGGCTGCTCAACAGTTTTATCGTGGACTTTATCACGCTATATCTTGAAAAAGTTCATTTATCTGTTTAACATTAGATTTTTCTATTTTACTGACGCTGACCTTCATACTGTTTTTATCAATCAATTTTTATTTATTACATCATTTCTAGTTCCTGTTAATTATTCCTTAAATCCTAATTATTACTAAATATTAATTATTCTTTAAATCCTACTGCCTCGTTGCATTGTGCTCTTTTCTGTACCTGTCCGATTTGCAAGGCGAATCCGAATATAATAGGAAAAAATCATGATAACAAATCTAATAATGGATAAAGATGTCTCACCATATTTTCACTTTTCTATTTGCCTCCCTGCTTTTTAGCTCAAATGACAGAATAAGAATTGCTTTCGCCTTTCGAGAGGAGAATTTACCCGTCCCAAATGTTAGCCACTATTATCACCGTCTCGTTAACTGCCTGTCGATTTGGACAATCAGTCTACTGAGTACCTCGTTGTACCAAAGCTGAATATTATATATACACAGATATATTACGCACACAATACTGACAGGATTAATTAAATATTGTTAATATCGTTTGCCGTTTTATTGCAAAATTATCTGTCAATACTCGTCCCGTCGATCTCGCACCTGAACGTTCCGGTCGGGACGTTCCGGACTGCAAGGAGCGGCAGAGCCGCGAGCGATTATCACCTGTTGTCGGCCGCCGGGGGGGGCTGTTACAACATATAAATCATCAAGGTAAATAAGTTAAGAGGTCACGACGCCCCGGGGCTGGCTGCTGCATTCCTTCTTATCTCTGTCTGTAATACACACAGCGCAGCGTCAGGGTTATTTACCAGTGTACTCAATCGACTATTCATATTGACACACGTTTAACAAAACGGTGATAATAACGGCTAACATTGGGATAAGAGGCGAACTGTTTTCCAAATGAAAGGATAATTCTACATTACTTGTTATTAAATGATTATTATTAATTCTATATCATATCTGTTATTAATCATCATGTTTGCTCTGTCAAGAGTAGGAAGAGATTAGAAAGGCGAAGGAATATGACTATGTTTTTTCCACGCAAAGAAGAGGTGGGCGTAGAAAGCACATAAAAGCTTATTTATCATCGCTACGCTGAACTAATTAAAATTTTCCATCTCACTTTAAAATATATATCTGTTTTAGTGTGCACTAGTTCACAAAGAACAGATTTATAGAAAAAAAAAGAAAACGGAGATTGACAGCATTTTAACAGCTGGAAGTATATTGTATTCGAGCAGTCGATTGTCCCATTGGCAGTTTACTCCATTTTCGTGCTTGATTTCATTCTGAATTTAATTTTTATACCTTCTGCATCGTATTTTAATTGTGTACTTTTCCGTTTGGTTTAATCAACTCCGCTGCTCACTGACTTTTGACTGGAATCTTCGAAATCCGACAGAAACAATTCCGAACTTTCAGGGAAAGTTTCTCTATTTACCGTCCACTATCTACTTATCATACGACTGCAACAGACAATAGATATTGTTATCTATATGTTGTCTAATCTAACCAATTTTGTCGCAGACATAGGCGGTACGATTCGAACCACGTAGAAACAACGAGAACCAGGTCACTTCAGTCACTTCTGTCTGGGCCTCACATTGTATTGTCAGCCGTAGCGTACCAAATCAGGTAAAACGAGAACGAATATGCGGTCAAGCGTGTCGAAAAGAGAAGGATAGGAGAAGCGAGAAAAAGAAGGTCGGAGGCGAAGGTGAAAAAAGGTGAGAAAAATGATAGTCGGAGGAGAGGAGAGGAGAGGAGAACCAAAAGACCTGTTCTTTGTAACTGAACCGACTGTTCACCACTAGTTCAAGAGCTTGTCTTTCTTCTTCTGATGTAGAAAGAAGAAAGATGAACTGTGAACTGGTGGCAGCTGGTTCAGCTGTAGAGAACAGGCCTTAAAAGGAACTGCTGGAAACGGAGGACACAAACCGGTTCGTCGAACAGCTAATCCGCGGGGGCGAGACGTAAACACTACACGACAGGCGTGTGTCCACCCACCTAACCTCTCCCGCGACGACTGCACCTGGCCGTTCATGCTTGCGGCGAGCGGGGGGACGTGGTCGGCGTCGCGAACGGCGACAGGGTCTACCCGGTGCGCCACCCCGAGACCTCCGAGTGTCGAGCGTCGCGTCGTCGATGAGACGGGAAGGCGGCAGCGGGCCGTTTGGGGCGATCACATCTTCACGCTCGCGCGCGACGACTCGTCCTGAGTTACCGTACTGTCCGTCTCACGTTTCCCTTTCCTCGGCGACCGCGACTCCTAGGGGACGTCGGCGCGACGTCCGGTGTCGCGCATCATCAGCGAGATCGGCACGGCGACGGCGTCTTCCTGGCTCCGACGATCGGAATCCTCCGCGTCGTTCCCTTCGCTTGGCTGCGTTCCGCACCGCGGCACGACGGCGTCGTTGCTGGTGCCTGGTGGACGACGGCCGGGCGTCTCGGCGCATGCGCGGCGGGCGCGCGTCGCCCAGCGGCGTGTCTAGCGCGAGCTAGAAGCGGGCGCCGGCGGTGCCCCGGCGACTTCGGAGTTTCTCCTTCCCTCTCCTGTTCTTCATCTTTTTTTCTTGTCGGGAACCCTTGATAACGTTCGATATCGCTTCGCGCGGTACGAGTATGTACGTACGATCGTGCGGTACATTTTGAACGCGTCCCGTCGTCTTGTCCACTTGCCGAAAAGTAGGGTCTCGAAGCGCCCGCGTTGACGCGGCACAGATGCGTGCTCGTATGCGCGGCCGCGCGTCGCGCATGCGCGGATCGCCGGTGCGATTGAAAACACACTGCACCGCGCGATGCACAATTTCACGTACGGCGCAGAAGGACGCGGCCGCATTCGACTGCCATGCGGGTGTGATGTGACACACGAGAGGGGAAATCGCGGCCGAGGAACGACGGATTCAACGACGCGCGAATCGCCGAAGGAATCGGATCCCATCGATCTGGTCAGTGGTCACCGACCACGAAACGCGAACGATGCCGAAATGGAATCTCTTTGACACCCGTATAATACCTGCAATTCTATATTTCTCCTGTTCTCTCTCCCTCTGTCTCTTGAACAATTGCGTCACGGAATTTAAAGCGTTCGATAACGCTCTGCGGCGACGTGCGATAACGATCGTAATTGACGATTGACAATTGTTGTTCCATTGGACTGTGGAAAGATTGCGTGAAATAATAAGAGTAAACAAGCGAGAGAGCGCGGAGAGAGAGAGAGAGAGAGAGAGAGAGAGAGAGAGAGAGAACGTTATTTATTAAGCTTTTTGGCATAAATCTCTTGAAGCGCAAGATCGTTAATTGAGCAACAAGATTATTGATATCTAAGAATATAAAATTACCGACAATTCAATTTTTGCGTAAATATCATCGTACAATTAAGATAAACGTATTTTCATACTATAACTACGTAACATAATATAGTATTGTACTATACTATAATTTTATGTAATATATTGTGATATAATATATTACAAATAATTACATATAATTTATATTATGTATGTGATATAATACATCTAATTATATGTAATATATAATATTACATTATATATAATGTTATGTTATATATTATGGCCTATATTCAGAACGCGAATTTTTAGAAATGTTAGCGCGTTGTTAAATTATTCTATTTTTGTCGTTTGCCACACGCAAAACAAGGAAAAATGATGCTGACAACACGTTAACATCTCGTGTGAAAACGTGTTCTGAATACAGACCTGTATATATATTATGTAATATATAACGTTATTACATAATATATAATACGTTTATTCAACATATTTTTATTAAATATAATATGTACATTTGAAGATCTACACGAATATTTGAAACGAAAAAAAAAAAAAGAATATCATTTTAAATATGTACAATTTTTGCTGCACGTATACGAGTTTATGTTGTACGTGACCAGTATTGTTCTCAGAGACGCTTTTTTCGCGCATGCATAGTGCAGTATTAGTGACATTCAACGATGTGTCTCTGTACTGCCCACTTGCGAGTAGGCGAAAAGGCGGGCTCCCGACTACCCTCCTTTTCGATATTTCGATCTAAGTTAGAGTCTAAGTTATAATCTTTTTTATCGCGAAAAAAGCGTCTCTGAGAACAACACTGAACGTGACTAGAAAGTATACGACTGCTGATGTATTATATTTCTACATAAAAGAATCTACGACAGACACGATTATTCATGAAAACTAAAACATTTTCTGGACTAGATATATTTTACACCTTATTTGGAATGTAATAAATATAATTAACAGAAGAATTATTGAAGCTTAATAAATAACGTTCTTTCTCTCTCTCTCTCTCTCTCTCTCTCTCTCTCTCTCTTTCAATCGTTTACTCTTTTTATTTCACAAATATAACATTTTAAATTATTGTTCGCAAAACATATAATACATATATAAATATGTATAATATTTACTTGAAAGTGCATTTTTTTTCTTTTTCTTTTTATCTGTTTATCCAATGGCATAACAATTAAAATTGGACCTTGACCTCCATCATTTTCTTTTCGAAGTACATATTAATTTTTTTTACAGGAATTTAGAAGTTACTGCTAAATTCATAATTCATAAAAAGTAACACGCTTCATATATCTGGAACGTACGCGTCTTTTTTACGTCTTTTTTACGATTTGAAACGACCAATCTCTCTCTTTCTCTTTTACGCTAATATTCTATTATTATTATTTTCATTTTTACAAATAGATGAAACAGAAAGGAGCATGAAAGCCTTGCAAGATAGATGACGTTGCTGTGAATTCTTCTAAAATTTATCTTTGTTATAAAATTGGCGTTTTTCGTGTTTAAATTATTGTTTTAATAGTGATCATAAAGATGACCCAATTAGAAGTCGAAACGCGTACGTTTGAAATTATCCTTGTGAAAAAATACTATTGAATTAATGAAAAAACTGTTGGAACATAGTATATAATATGGAATATAATATTGAATTTGAATAGCTTTCTAACAATTTCCAATAGGTTTGCCATAAATTCAATTGTATTGTTCCATACGGGTATGTATATTTAATTGGATCGTATAAAGTATAAACAATTTTGTGCACGTATATTACGAGGCTTTTATGCTTTTTTGTTCCATTTATGTACATCTAAGCCATTATCTATTTATTATTTTATTTCACTTTTTTATTATTTAATGTATTATACTAACGTACAGTCAATTTCTCTAAATTCTTAGTCGTAGTATAATGTATAACGATCTTTGCGCTTGAAGCGACACTAATTGTCTCAAAGCGCATAATAAATGACGCTCTCTCTCTCTCTCTCTTTCTCTTTCTCTGCTTCTCTCGGTATTTTTGTTTGCAGAAATAAATTTTTACACCACCTCCGTTCCCGTTCGCCCACATTTACTCGTCGAAATTCATTATTATTTTTTTCTTGTCATCGCGAATGATGGACACGGTTTCGATATTATCTTATCGCGCACGCACGAGCGGCGCCGAGTTATCGGCGTCTCAAGGAGAAAATTTTCGGATACCGGCGCGAAGTCTAGTCGGAACACAGTGCGGCGCGCTATTTATATATATACGAATATATTATATTTCGCTTCTCACGCGGAGAAATAAGCGGAAGGTCGTCATTAGAACGAACGAAGGGAACGAAGTTCAAAGAAACCGCGCGCAATCACGCGATATTCTCCGGTTGTGAGAGAGACGCTCCCCCTCCCCCCTCAACCCTCCATCCTCCTCGGAGGGAGGATCAATAAGACGATCGTCCTATTAACCCACGCGGTCTCTTTTTGTTATAAACTCCTCCACCCCCAAGACAGTCGCGCAGATATCGGGAATATATATATATATATATATATTCTGTTTAAAGAACCCCACTTGGAACGCTGGCGCGATTGAACGTGAGACCAATAATTCCGGGACAAAGCGCGATTGGAAAATCGGGAGGCGAGACTCCGGGCCCTTTTCGTGCCACTTCAGAACAAACGCCCAAGCGCGATTTCGTCTTCAAATTGAGAATTCGTTGAACCCACTTTAAACGATCTACAATTCGCACGTCATGTGTCAGCTGGGAGGGGAGGGGGGTAAAATTCTATTTATAATTTTATACGTGCCGCGCAGTTTGACATACGTGTGTGGATATATACGTCTATTATTTTACACGGTCGGAAAATTCCCGTTAAATTTAACATATTTCACGTTCTAAATTATCCACCCCAATTTTTGTGTTAATTTAACACACGATGAATATGTTAAAAGATAGTACAAATATTATGTCGAAAATTAATACAAAAAATTTAATACTTTGATGTACTATTTGGAAGCAAATTGTGGAAACATATTTCTTCAAATTTAGTAAATTTAACATTCATATAATGTGTTAAATTAACATTTACTACATACACTTATATTTTATTAATTTATCTTAGAATATATGTTTTAAAACTATATTACTTTTATTTGTTTTCTTACTTATAAATTGTGTTATTTTAATACAATTAAGGAAAGTCGAATATGAATTTAATATTAAAAAAACATTCGAATAACACAATCACATTATTTTAAATTACACTGAGATACGTTAAAAATTCAACATAAAAATATCAAAAACAATCGGTATTTTTTTACAAGAAACACAAATAATAATGTTTTTTACTGCGAGTATATATGTTATAGTTTATATTTATATTTATTTTTTTATATAAAAACACACGGAAAGAACGGTTTTGTTGGATACAGATCTCAAAATTATTTGGAGACCATCAAAAATATTTTATTGGAATCTCAAAAATGATGAGCATTGCTGTAAAATGTTTCGAGCAACCAAAATCTTATTTGAATTTCTAACAAAATTCATTTTAAATCAGTATTCAAAAGATCTTTTAGATTTTTCAGCAAAATCATTCTTTGCGTGCGTGCGTGTAATTCGTACGCCATATTTTCCATTTATCAAAATGTCTTTCGTACCACAAGCAGGACGCAAAACTTATGAATAAGTTATGGTTGGAAGTGTGTACTCTGCGTCTCAAAGAAAATAGAAAAAGAACTTTTCTAATTGTGTGAGAGGAAAATATCTTTGGAAACGGAGGGTAATTTTTCTTCGCGCGGAAGTGCAAACGCGGACCGATTAGGATGTCTTTAGCGAGGGGTTTTTCCACGGCGAAACGAGCGACGGGAGGAGCGTTCTCGGAGTAATTACACGGAGTGAGGAGCGATTAATAATCAGTGCATAATATCGATCGATTCCGAAGATACGGATTAAGAAGGACGTAGGTCGACGGCTTAATTAATGGGCGTCTCTTCATTTTCGTTAGACTCTCCGGCTCCGCGAGAAAACGGAATTCTTCGATCTTGATTAATTTCCGAGAAAGGCGCATTCCTAACGCTTGTCGACACGTATCGCGAGGGGTTCTTTGTGCTTCCTTCCTTCCCTCCCCGTC